AACAATACAAAAAAACGGCTATACTGCAAAGTGTAGGAAAGGGAAGGAAATCATCCACAATAAATATGTAAAATAGTGTGTTCAAATTGCATAAGTATACTAATTCCCAAGCTTGAGCAAGGCAGCAAATAGCAGAAAGAACAGTCCCAAACCACACCAAGAAAACCCAAAGTTCCTCAAGAAAATTGCACGTAAAAAAGAGTGAATGTAAGTCTTCCCTGGATCATTTAAAGTTCCGGTTTTGTTAGTTGCATGATAATACACCACCCCAGAGAATGCATTTACATGCAGTTCTCCTCAATTTCGCGCTTGTGAGATATTCTTCTTCACCTGATGTGTCCCAAGCACGGCCCGTGACTGCGTTTGCTCTCTGGGCTCGGTCACCGGCTACCTAGGCCTCACCGCTCAGCGTTGCTTTAAGAAGCTTCTCCCAAAAGGATCTTAGGTTTTTTTTCAGTTGAACATGGTGGCAGGCTTTCGCGACCAATATTATTCATAATCAACGTTTTTGGGTTTAGATCGCGTTATTTATAAATGTGTCGTAACCCTCCACCACCCGACACGGCCAATCAGTAAAAGACAAACTAGTTCACTGCTTTAGCCCACCGGTGTGTTGAAGCGTGGAACCACAACATTTACAATTTGAGTACGACGTTTCGCTGGTAATTGCATCCAGCATCATCGGGCAATTCGCCAGAATGGCAATTACCAGCGAAACGTCGTACTCAAATTGTAAATGTTGTGGTTTCACGCTTCAACACACCGGTGGGCTAAAGCAGTGAACTATTTGTCTTTTGTCAACATGACACTTTTTTACTGATTGGCCGTGTCGGGTGGTGGAGGGTTACGACACACTTATAAATAACGCGATCTAAACCCAAAAACGTTGAATATGAGTTTTTTTCAGTGTCTAACTTATCCCATTCCAATCAACACATCGCCCCACAATTGGTAAACAGTCGCTTTAAATTGAGAGGGGTTTCTTGCAACAATATCAAACATATGGCCGAATAGAAGAGCGCACTCATTTCAGATGTGCATAGTTTGCATTCGGGAACTTTTGCATGTCCCCCCCTCCCCCGCCCCCTCTGAAAGTGAACTCGTGCAGAACTGTCAGGCGGAAGATTGGAGCTGATCCATATTGTGCGTGTGTTCAATTATAAGAAATCCCCAATAAGCTCGTACTGCTGGAAATTCTTCACTTGACAGCCTCACTAGAGATCACAAAAGCCTCTTCTCGCGTGTCCACAAGTGCACTTCAGTACAGCACAGCAATCACCGTGACTGTGTGGACACTTATAACCTCAACAATATAAACATTTCAAGTGCCGGCCTCTCCTCGTTGCGGAATAATCCATCGATTTAAATACGAACAAATAAACTCAAGCTCTCCAGCTGGCACGAGTGCTCCTTGCGATCCTGCGCTGATCTTGAGCAGGTGCTTGGATGGCTGCCACGTGCGCGTGGCATCACGTAGGGAGACGGAGGGGCTTTTGCCGCGTCCTGTCGAAGCGTGCACCAACGCAGAACGTTCGTGCTGCGCCGCCGCTTGGAAATTGTATTTCTCGGCTCTGTGGCAGCCTGCCTGACTGTGCAATGTCAAGTGAAACATATGCCCATAGACGGCCATCAGCAGGTGGGCAGATGCAGACACGAGGCGTCTCGGGTTTGCCATATCGTTTGCATCAGCCCTCGAAGCAGATTTTATTTTTCCACTGGGGTCTCCATGTCTTGATTTGTGGTGAATATCAGGGCCGTAAAACTCTCCGATAAGTGATTAATAAAATGGAAGCACTTTTTTGTTTTACTTCATCCAAGCCCGGTCTCCATGGCCATGTCTGCATGTGCTACATTACAATCAACTCGGTATGAAGTTGTACGTTGGCTTGCTTGATATTTTTGACATAAATCCGTACTATTAATCATCATCATCATGAGCAATGAGCTACCTACTGCTAGATGGAAGCTTTCCCAATCAGTCACCACTGCTCACCGGCTCCCATTGGATGGAACAATCCATTTAGCAATTGCACACGAAATCTGCAGTGGCCATTCTCTCAGGCATGTTCACTTCTTTGGCTGCCACTCAGTCATTAGTCTCAACCACTGGCCATCAACCCTCCTAGCGACCTGTACTAGGCTAAGCCCACTTAACAATCAGTAATCAGTATGATGTCTCTAATTAGCAAACATTGTCTCCGATCCATGGGTTCCTCTTTCTCTCTTTCAACGTCATTGCAAGCTTGCACTGCTCCATGCTTCTTTGTTCACATTTTATCCTTTGTTCCACTTTATTTGCCAATATCCATATTTCTAATCCAAATGCCGTAGTGGGTAATATACTACACTGATTTAAAACATCCATCTTGAGGCACGTTGGTGTGTGCATTTTCGTTATGAAGTTCAATTTTCCAAAAACCACTTAAGCCTGCTGTCATCTGCATCTATATTTCGTTATTTAGATCCCAGTCTGCTTTCAATAACTGCCCTATGCATCAATAATCTGCCACGTTTAACAGTTGTGTCCTTGCAACAAATATCTTTCATTGTGTTCGTGAAACGATTCTCAACAAATACTCTGCTATGTCTGCCTCCACAGACATGTAAATCGGAGCACCGGGTTTGGCCAAGGTGTTGGTTGATGCACAAAAGAGAACAGACATAGCAAAAGAAGACACACTTTCATGTCTGATTTAACTGGGATGCTTTCAGATGTTTTTAAAGTGATTTATACCAGCCATCAACCTTTGTTTCCTGTAGAAACACAGCACATATCAGCAGTCTTTTGATATACAATCTCTCAGATGATCGTGCATTCCACCTGCATATACAATGCCGCTGAAATTATTCTTAAGATTATGTTTGCACCAGATGGCTGTAAATAAACTGCACCCATAAATGCAAAACTGTTTGCGTGCATGTGCATATTGCGTACACATATGCCTGCCTCCTACTTGTAAGTGCAATTCAATAGTGATTATAACAGCCTCGGTTTTTAAACATTTCGCTGTGGTCTATCGACTGATTAAAAACATTCATTCATATTTAATATGCATAGCAGCAAAGCCATATGGGTGTTTATATGTTTCTGTTTGGTTATTCAGGCAAATCAAATGCAGTATTTAAAGCAGAACTTGATTTTTTTTTATTAATGACCAGAAATACAATACATAACGTTGGTGTAAATAAAGGTATCATCCATTCTTGAAGAATTAGCCGTGTGAACTGATTGGTTGAATGTTGTGGTTATGTGGGTGCTGGCATGGCTGAATGTTATCTCCCTCGCCTAGTACGCAGGTCGTGGTTTCGATCCCGGACCCTTACACGATGCTTGTTGTATATTTGGAGTTTGCGCGTTCTCTCACCCCATGTTGGTCACGTGGATTTGTCTCCACATCCTTTGGGTTTTGCACTCCACATTTAGAATCATGCATTTAGATTATCAGGCTGCTGCTATTCATTCCCACGTATGAAAGCAACCACTTCATTGAGATACCGTGTGTGGCCAGATCGCCTCTGAAAAAGAGCTGATACCTTGGTAGAAGTTGCCTGGTAAATGAAATAGAAAATGCGAAAGGCAAAGCCTGTGTCGAAATATGAAAACCTTACAGTGATCTTCAACAGCACGTATAACCTAAATATATTTAACAATCAGAACTGCAATGTTGGCAGGCACCTGCCCTCGCCAAGGCCTCAATACGACATCTATCACCAATGCCTTAGCTAAAATATGGGGATTTCGAGGCACGAGATTCAGTCGCTAAAATCTTCATAATGCCGCGTGCGTGCGCGCGCGCACGTGTGTGTCGTTTTATCGACCTTGCGCAAACTTGCTGTCTAAATATAATTCGATAATAATGGATGATACCTTAATGAACACCCTTTATAGATGCATGATGTACAAGCATATGCCTTCTGTTCGTAGAATACAATTTGCACACTCACATTACTACACGCATTTTTATACATTACTCTCCAAGTGATCCAAAGCTGAATTAATCTAGCTGGGTGGCACTGCAGTTTGAGGCACAGGGGATGGACCACTATTGAATACTTCAAATCCCAGTTGGGGTTCCATTCTGTCAGGTTTGATCAGATTGTGTCCATCTTACCCTCCGGGGAGATGGTGAAGCAATCGAGTGCACAGGCGGTGCAACTGCATTGACGCCCACAGCCCCAGAGGGGCCCTGGCGCCGGGCTACGAAGAGGAGGGAAATTGTACAGAGGGCCCCCCATTTCATTCCTTGCTCCAGAGTGGCTCATTGAATACTCTTAGGTTTTTTCGGTAAAGTCACGTAGGTAAAAAATAAAATTAAAATTAATAAAAGTAAAATAAAAAATCCTCTTTACTTGATACAGCAATCGTGCTGTGATGGTTCCACCTGAAGACGGAAGCTTGTGTTGCCTCCGAAACGTCGTGATTTTTTATTTTTTTATTTTACTTTTATGAATTTAAATTTCATTTTTTACCTACGTGACTTTACCGAAAAAAACCCAAGAGTATGAATCCTTGCAGTCACGAACGCTTCAAATCTAGATTGAAACCACGCAAAGCTACGCCCTCTGGGATAAATAGAATTAGCTCAAATTTGTAGCACGTCAGCAGTGGTTATCTTATATAGAGAGAGAGCTTGGCCACTCTCATAAAAATGGGGAATTTGCACCAGTAGATATGAGGACCGCCCAACTCTTGTATGAATGTAGAGACACTATTATGTGCAGTATAGTTCTCCAACGTGTTGTCTGGCTGTACCACATGTTGTTTGGCATGATGCCCGAAATTTCACTCCATGTGCTGGTAACTTCTTCAGCAACCCTTAAGTTCTTGAGAAAGTTCCCAGCACGTGAAGCGTAACGCTAGATATCGCACCGAACAAAACACGTGACTGAAAACGCATCGGAGGGTCATGCTGCACAGCGCAACAGTTAAAAACCTACACGGTGGCACCACCGTTAATTATATTTTCAACTAACATTAGTTTTTTGTTTTTCGGTTTCAGCAACAGGAGCAGGACCCGACGAACTTGTACATCTCCAATTTGCCGCTGTCCATGGACGAGCAGGAGCTGGAGGGCATGCTCAAGCCGTTCGGCCAGGTCATTTCTACGCGCATCCTCCGCGATGCCAACGGCACGAGCCGCGGGGTCGGCTTCGCGCGGTAAGTCACGCTCAGCCCGGGGTGGGGGGGCCGAGCAAGGCCAGACCGCCAGATGCTGCCCCCCATCTTTTCGCGAGGTCGCAATTTACACGATCTCGACGACAACCGCCTCCCTGGTGCGTTGAGGCCAAGGGCGTGTCCCCCACGTCCACCCACGGCATCGTAGCGGTTTTCCATTAAAAGACGAATGGCGGGTAAATGGGTGTTGTTTCTTGGTGAATAGGAAGGAACACTTCGGGCAGGTTCTTATGATGGCAAATGCCCCTTTTATGTCGAATTGTGGCAATGCCGTAGCTGTCCGATGTGAACTGAACTGAATTGGGTTTACTTAAAAAGCTCCCGACATGTGAAACGGAACGTTGGACATTGTGCTAAACAAGCAGTACAATCCGAAAACAAATTGGAGAGCGAAACAGGACAACCTTGAAATCCTACGTGGTCGTGCTGATGTCTTCATCATACACAATGGGGGAAATCGCCAAAGCGATGTGTTTTCCTCAATTAATCGAGATTTGAAACTGGCTCTTAACCCTGTTCACTGATGGCACATCCAGATCAGCATATCCCACTCATGTTTGCACAAACAAAGTATATTCTGGTACCAGTTTCAACTTTGTTGAGCCTTACCAGATGGGTATGGTCCATTAAACAATTGCTACTCAATGGTCATTAATGTTATGCTCTTCTTTTATTGCATTATCCTTTACTACAAGACTCTGTGAATTATATACTAACTATGGTGATGTGATGTGACATGCAAGATATCGCCTCTTGCGTATTACTCTTCCTTATTTTGTTGTGTTTGTGAGCTGGCTGTTTTTGTTATTCGTTAACTGGGGCATTTGTTTGAAAGCTCCACGAAATGTCCGGCTGCGTTAATGTTGCCGTGCGCTCGAGTGCGGCTCGCTGAGCTCACCGCAGTCTGCTCCCTACAACAGAATGGAGTCCACGGAGAAATGTGAAGCAGTGATACAGCATTTTAATGGCAAGTTCATCCAAATCCCACCTGGTGTTCCAGGTAACAATCGCAGCATCTCACCAGCAAAACCCTCACTTTGGAGACTGTTTGTTGCGTTTTTGCAATTGCATTACCGATACGTTCGCACGGTACCGACTATATATTCACGTAATACTTTTCGCAACAGATGCGTGGAATTAAAATCAATTGCTTTTTTTTTCGAAAGTCATTATTTTTGTTATGAACTTGGTATTTAAACGTAACCTTTTATGTTTCAATGAGTACCTAGCTGCATTTGACGAACAATTATTTCAACAAATAGCATTTTATAATAATAATAAAATATTAAAGGTCCCTGCACTATTGAGGCTAAATTATCAAACAGCGCATTTAATGTGGTGAAACAGATGCAATTGTAGCTATTAATAAGTAACTCATTAATTTGCAAGAGAGAAAAAACATACATTGAATAATGCACACATAATGCACATGCAATTATTTTAAAGCGTTGTTTTCTATATTTAATTATCTGGATTATGGGTGAGATGGTATTCATGTAGTGTAGTGCATATGTTGCACACTAATTCGCGAAGTCACCCACTCAAGGCAGACTTTACTTGGGATATTTTGAATTTGTCATCTGGTGTAGAAGTTCAAAGCCAGGCTTACAATTATTTAAATTTGAGCCTTGTTTCTAGTGTCTTTTGTCCCAAGAGAATGCCACTTATTTGCTTAAAATTGTATATTTACCCCAACAACATGTGTAGACAAACACACGTCCACATACACAAAGAAAGAGACTGGCATTATCGAGTCTTGGCCACCTTCATACAAACTATATTTGGGCTGAGAAAAAAATAGGGCCCTCTTTTTAGGGTACAACACATATTGAGCACACATTGTCATTTCCTGTGTGTGCAGGTCTCAAAGGGAGCTAAATGTTTAAACAAAGTTAATTACAGTACGGTAGTTTCAGCCTTTTTTTGGCACCTCTCTTTTTCGCAATTTAAAAGCTGAAAAATGTTAACATCCGATTAGTTATTAATATTAAGTTAAATGTAAAAAGGTGAAAAAAGAATGATGTCAACATATTCACAGGAGGGTATAAATTAAACCTGCCTATCAGTGATTCAATGTTACCATTATGCAAGAGTCACTTTTGCATTAATGAATTCCACCAAGCTCAAGCCAGGACTCTGTACCCGCCAGGAATGAAATTTCTGTTTCATACTGCTCGCCATAAAATCACACACAAATTAATACAGGAGGAAATATTACCAACGTTTGGTTTAATTCAATAAAGAAGTTAACAATTTAATATCAAGATGTCCCGACGACCCTTTTCAGCTTGTGTGGCATGTGAGATGCCATCGCAGATTATACCTGGCCCTGCTGACATCACAAAAGCAGTCAGATTTAGTGTGGGGGGGGGGGGGGATCATGTGGCCCGATCTGCTCTTTCAGCACATTCCCAGCAGAGTGTTTTACGAGCAGAGTGCGTTCCTTTTGCACTGGGGGGGCGGGGGACTTGGGGGGGGGGAGAAGCTAGAGGCTTCATTGGCCACACCACCCCCTTGGCTTTTAAAATCTGCATCGTTTCACCATAGGGACCAGGATGGTGTGAGAATTGTATGGTTCTTATTAACCCTGGGCCAGTTAAGAATGAAGTAATAATAAAATCGGAATTGAATTTTTTTTCGAGAAATGTGCTCTTCATTGGCCCTCTACGCTTGATTAATTTAAGTTTCAAAATGCAGAGCATGGCCTGTAATATACTGCAGAAGGTAAAGTGCATTTTTCATATTTTAACAGCACATAGCATATTATTTCATGACAAATGACAATGTGCTCTTGAAGTCCACTAAAACTGTACTTTTATTTTAAAATATAATAAAAGCCAAAAAAAAAACATTGTTGTGCATGCAGATAAATTTGTTTTTTTCCAGTTATGTATTTTTCCCTAATATTTTTTAATGTGGATGGGAGGACATGGTATGCAGAGAAAGTTATTAAATTTGTGTTGTACTTTAACTGAGACAAACTTATTTAGTGTTGCTGTCTGCTAGGGGATTTCTGAAATGGATTCCACGGCACGAGTCACACTTGGTAACCTTGACGCAGGCCGGAGAGCAGAAATGTTTGGGCTTTTTATTATTTATTTTCTAAACTCACACCGTGAGTGTGCTGCGGTGCATGTAATGTCAGAATCAGCAGTTTGCGCAAGAAATATTTCAAATGATATTAACTGTGGCACACAGAGCTAGTTTTTTTTATGAGATGCACAGCACTGGCAATCCTTAGTTATGCTGAATTTCTCCTCGCCTTTACATTATCCTGGAACAGATATTGAAGTGGAAAGCTGAAATAGGTTAAGCTACAAAACCCCAATTACCTTTTTTCCTGGAGACCCGGAGAAAATGTTACGGTTCGTTCAAAACCAATTTAGCTTCACTCCTAAATAGGTTCAAAGAATATAACAAAAAACCATGACGTTTCGATCACAACACAAGTGTTCGTCATCAGGAAGAAAAAAAGAGGCTCTTCCGTTTTTTGTTATTTTCTTTGAACCTATCTACGTGACTTTCCCGAAAGAGCCAAATGATATGAATTCCTGCAGTCACGAAAGCTTTAAGTCAAGATTTCACTCCTCAAGTTTACCAAACAGTTGTCACATTTTCTGCACGTTGTTAAGTTCTAGTGAAATCGAGTGTGGCTATCATATCATTTTGCTGACATTTTTACGAAGATATGTTGCAGTAAGTTGCCTATATCTAAAAAAAGCATTGCGACACAACTTAAAAACTTCATCCCCTCCTACCTAAGTTTAGCTATTTTAACGTTGGAGCACGTTAGGGCACGTTATCGCGCTCCGTCTCCCTTGGCACCCGCGTATGTTACGCGCTCACGCTTTGTCACAGACCTCTAACAATACGCTTGGGCTGCCCTCTAAAATGATGGCTTTCTCTTTTGTTGATGTTGGAACAGATTTCTGCCAAATTTACTGAATAAAAATAAAAATGCTGACTGCCGTTTGCTCCCCCCCCCCCCCGCTCATTCTCCAGCGCCGTCTGAGCCCCTGCTGTGCAAGTTTGCCGATGGTGGGCAAAAGAAGAGGCAGAGTCAGAGCAAGTACACGCAGAACGGCCGGGCCTGGCCGAGGGAAGGGGAAGTGAGTGTGCACTCTCCGTGTCCCCGTGTCTGCCATATGTCCTTTTCTGTATGCATCAGCCAAACGATATGAAACTATCAATGGGACCATTTGCCAGTGTCAATGATGAAAAATAAGAATAGGTTTTACCCTTTTCTGGCAATAAAACATGTGTTAAGATGTTCAAACACCAAATAGATACCTTTTGTACGGCATCAAGTCTGCATTAACCACACGTACTTGTGGCAAAACATGAAAACAAACATGCTCTGACAATATATGCATTGTCCCTGAAACTGATTGGCCGGCAGCAGAGACAGCATTATTCATGGCATTGTCTCACCGGTGTTTGACCAGAGAACACCAAAAGGCGAACAGAAATGAATCTCTTAATTCAATGGATACAGCCCTGAGTCCAAGAGACCCGACATGATGTCTTTGGTCTAAACGTTCGGTAAAGGTGCAGCCCTACAAGCGCTCGCTCATGCTACCGCTGGCAGAAGGGTTTTCACTTGAGGGCACTCTAGAGAGCCTTTCAAGAGATTATTCGGGCAAACGTCTCGGAAAGAGGTGTGAGCACCCACACTTTACCTCACCACACGCAACCTGCCGTTCGACTAGCTACTGTGCACCCATTGATACTGCTTGGTGGACAGAGGTGGCGGGAATGAGTAAACTTGCCCCATTGTGTCAACTCCAGCCCGTGGAGACTGAAGCAGCAACCTCTGAATTGCAAGTCAGGTGTACGAACCATTTTACCAGGGCTTCATTTTTCACTGGACATTTTCTTGGTCGCCAATAGACTTGAAGGTAGCGTATGACTATTTGGTTACAGCCATGGTGATGGGTATACTGCATCAGCAACCTCAACAGAGCCAGCTAAATTTAAGTCCTCGCATCAACCAAAATGTTTGAAATTCTCAACCCTAGGGATACTGCCCTGAGCCCAGGAGACTTTGGCATACACGCATGACCTTACATAAGACATTTAACATCTTATTATATAAAGGGATCAGATGGTCATGTTTTGTGAGCAAATGTACATTATTACTTGCACGGGTGCTCCAGACCAGGCCGACAGAACAGTATTTCAGGTTTGCATCCGAAGGTTAACAGTGCTAGAATGACAGGTTTCATTTATATGAAGTTAATTATTTGGCATTTGTGTTATTTTATTTTATAATCACATTTATATAATGTAGGGGTGTGATGGTGTTTTGATTTCTCAATTACAAGCAATTTCTCGTAATATTGATTGTTAAGCTCCTGATACATGCATCAAATTTTTGTATGAAAAAAACATTCCAATTTATATATGCAGTTTGTAAAGGATTCAAAATACACAAAATGCTCAATAAAACATACAGTGTCCCCAAGGATATTCCCAGCAATATTAGATATTTGTTTTTTTATGGGATTGAGGAAAAAAAAGGTGTAAACACAACGAGAAAAGATTTACTATATTGGAGGATCTGCTGTTGGCAGAGTCATTAAAACAAGCAGTGAAAATTAACTACAGGAAATAATTGAAGAATTTAACAAAGAAGGCTGCAAAGCTGGGCTTAAGTTTAATATGGGAAAACAAAAGTTACGTCCAACAAGTTTGCTACAAATTAAGATATTTGTTGGAGGGACACAATTGAATAAACATAGCGCAGGCAGTCCTTGTTAAAGATCCTGCCAGCTCAATGGGGAGTACCAGCTCAAATCAAGTCTGAATGCGAGTCTTTCTAGGGCACTTATTGAAGGCGGATCAGGATCAAAATGATGAAATAGAGCTGCATTTTATTACAAAAAGTTTTCAATGCGTGCAAGTTATACGCAATAACATATGCACCATAATATTCAGAATGACCGTTTTGCTCGTGAGCAGTGCATCACCTTGAATCGGAGAAAAAGCCCAGAAGATGATGTCACTTTACTGCCTCCAAAGTCCCTTCATTCGCATTGTATCCACGCTATCTTTGTACTTTTAACATTCCATCTTTTATTTTCAACCACTGACGTTACGTTTAATTCGTCACGATTCAAGCTACAGGATCAACTCTTTAAAATTCTGACATCCAGTCATCGTGCACACCGGGTTTGGTTTTTATCTGTCGGTTCCCTTGTATAGTGTTCACATAAAGCACCTTGTGAGTTTATTTTGGGAGAATGGTTTTGATTTTCTCATTCCAGAATGAACACATTTAAAAAAAGGATCTAAATTTAAATTTCCAAAACATAATCCGGCAATAATTCCACGATGTGTTTTATGGTGTTTACTAAATCTGCGCACAATGGGACATCCGCCAATTGGTACGAACACAAGCGTACACCTCGCTAACTCCATGCCAGATGGGTTTTGTCTTTTTGCTAGATATGCATAGACAGCCTGTGCATTGTGCAGTTGTGCATAAATTGTAACCCTTTATTCAGTGCCCTTTTTTTCCCCCTGCTCGACATGGCCAGCTGAGTTTTTTTTTTGTTTAACGCACGACGCTTCTCTGCCTTTCAGACCGGCATCGCCGTCACATACGACCCCACTGCTATCCAAAATGGGTGAGTGGTTGCTCGCACTAGCCATCCCCACATTGGTGGAGGCGACTTTGTCAGCGAGTAAAATTATAAAATTTAACACTGTGGTGTGCACAGAAACTGCACATACAGCACTTGGGCTGTGTGTGGTGTTCATTTATTTTTTATTCTTCTTCTTCTACCAAAACCTGAATTTAATACCGCGCATGTTCGAATTTTCCTCCTGCAGTTTCTACCCATCTCCGTACAGCATTGCGACAAACAGGATGATAGCGCAGACGTCCATGACACCGTATTTAGCCTCCCCCGTCTCCACTTACCAGGTGTGTGTGTATGCAGTGTGTGTCTAACACCCACGTGCTGTGAAAATTAAAGTGCCCACGAGTGTGCATTTGCATGGTGCTGCTTGCCAATGAGTTTGCAATTGAACTTGTAAAAGTTTTTAATAAACACAACTCCATTCTGTGTCGTCACGTAAATAAACAAATATGCTTTCATCCATCGGCCTTTTGACTTTTCATACCAATATTATCAAGCAGCATTTGTTTAAATATGCAAACTCTGAACCGGTTTTGACCAACTGAGTCTTATCAGCAGAGTCAGGCGTATTTCATTGAGTTGATATATGAACATGGGAAGGATGCTTCGTATTCCCCTTTGTGCGATGGTGAAACCAAAGCCATTTTTTTTTGCAGTGACCCTAAAGCAGTCATTCACATTTTCTGAGAAATATAAATATCATGTACAGAGAAAAAAAGAAAAAAACATTGCTTTGCGATGATTTGCAGTTTTGCTCAAATTCCTTTATTCAAAAATGTATCAATCATGAATTCTTCCTCAATTCCATTTTGCTGTGACTGAGAGGGAACCTCTGCCAAGATTCTTTAAAAAAAAAACACTTGTAATACTTCATCTCAGAGAGGGAAAAATGTGGTACTGTGTTCTACCAAAGCATGGGAAACTGAGAGCCTATCATTTTGTACAATGAAATTCCACACGAGTGGGATGTCTCTGTGTTTGCTCATGCAATTTGAATACCTCTTGTAAATACTCCGTGTCCCTATCTAACTGTCGGATGCAATGCACAGAACTAGTATTGTAGTCCTCGCTGGGTAAACGGGTTAACATTGAATGGCCTGCTGCATTTGGGCGCATGGAAGAATAACATCAGTCAGTGATTAATTAAGCTTTGTGTCAAAGCTAAACAGATGGCAGCATAGTGGAACTACACTGCACGTGTATTATTCATGCCTGCTAATTGAATTGACTTTGCAGTATGAAGAGAGTAGCCTTTTGTGGTTCTTCTATATTTTTAACAACGTCTTGCGTACAATGCGTGGAACATGGCGAGCAATTGGGTGGCTCGTGTCCCCTTGTAGGTGCAGAGTACATCCTGGATGCCCCATCAGCCTTACGTCATGCAGCCCGCGGTAAGAGCCACCTGCTCGCCACCACCACCCATGCCTATAATCTCCCTTGCACAGTGGTGTCTATTACTATGCAGCACTGCACCACTTACATTGCCACTGGCACAAAGGCCTCTTTGAGGTGTCTGTATTGTCGCTGCCGGTTGTTCAAAAAAATATTGCAAATGTGGATGAATTAATGTGATACGGTCATTCGGTTAACACAGTACTTCTGGCTGTAACGTTTACCGTGGCCATGACCGTTGCAGAAGGATAAGGTTAGCGGTCACACTCTTCTTGTGATGGCAAATTAGCCGCAGAATTCCCATCGGTGCCTCCGAAAGAATGTTCCCTGCTAATTTAGCTCGTCCACAGCCTGGCCTTGTACACTAACAAGGCCTTGACCATTGCATCGGTGCGTGATGTCCCACCGATTCCGTGATGGGAAAGTGGAAGGAAAAAACAACGAACGCACTGAAGCTGTAAATGGCAGTGACAGTGTCATACAAAATAAACAGCGGACAGAATGCCCAAGTAAATTGTGAATTGGTATGTGCTTGTAAAATAATGCATGTTTTTTCCCACACTCGAATTATATGATCAGTATCTGATAAGGGGAGGAGGAGAAAGGGGTTTCAGCTTCTGAATCATATCTATAAAGTAACGGGAATGTACCGTGTTTAACGTCCCACTCTTGCGTGGTGCCAGCCATTCTTGTATTCGGCTCACAAACTGCAGAGTTTTATTTCCTGTAAAAATATGACCTCGGCAATGGATCATGTGTTTATAGCCATCACTGGGTATTGTTTTATATTGCTTTTAAAGGTTGTGTCCTCCATATAGAGGAAAATGATACATTAAACTATAAAACAATTCAATTTGCCAATATCGTAAGCCGATAAATATAATTGTTTTATTTTCATCTCGGCAATGAACATCATTGTGTAATGTAGTTTTAATGTTTTCATTAAATTGCTTATATTATCACATGTAGATTAAAACTTAAGCTAGTAAGTACTGTAATTAATCATTCTATTTAATTTAATAGAATACCAACAAAATTGTTAAGATTAATGGAAAGAAAACCCTCTTTTGCTTTCATCACAATTGCACAGCTGGTTTATATAGAAGAGAACGGAAGTAGAACTCTCCAAACCAATGTAAATATCATAATAATTCACCGTACCTGTGCCCATTCGCATGCATTCACCAGAACCCGAGCATGTGCATGCCCCCCCCCTCCTGCTCCCCCTCCTCCCCCCAAAACAACTCTCCTTTAACAACACAGTTAAGCACGTAACTTTATTTCATTGTACAACGAAAGTAAGATGATTTAATCTTTGAATGTAATATATCAGTAAAAAAAGGAAATTAACACCTCAAATATATACATAATGTATGTACATTTTACTTTTAAGTCAAGTAAAGACTGGATGCATGCATGTTCTACTTTACAAAGGCTTGCATGGTGGTATAGCGGCTATAAGACTGCATGTATACGTGTGTCTCTCATTGCCGTCACACATGATTGAAACCATTTGCCTGGAACTGGCCATTACAAAATCAAAACACATCTGCCCGTTGCTACGACACCGTCTATTGGTGCACGAGAAGCCAGACATTATGCAGTTTTGTTCATGCTATTCACATTTGGCTCCTTTTTTACCGATGATTAAACAATCATTGCTTACAGGTGCATGTTTCGACCGATGTTATCAAGATTATGTCAAAAAGTTAAATTCTGTAGTGATATAGTAATTTTAATTTGCCATTCCAAGCAAGGACATAGGCTTTGTAGTTGAAGGCTCCTGATTAATTTATGTGTGATTATGTGCACTTGTGTGCAGTTTCTCACTAAACTAATTTCTTCCTCAAATATAATTTCCTCCTCTAGTGGCCGATTATGCTGCACTTAGCATGCACCCCTTTCCAGAGTCCTGGCGATTGTTAATGCAACCAGATCACGGTAAAGGAGGAGAGAGATGAAGGGCAAGGTGAAAGTGACGATGAAGCCATCTGCCCTGGCACGGCCGTGCGGAATTATTGGGCAGGCCAGCCATTTCCCATCACCAATCATAAATGCGGATACAGTCAAATGAATCAATGCTGGGGGTCGATCGGTGGTAGGCGCGGTAGGCGAGAGTGCAAGAGTGAGCCAAAGTCATTTAGATAATGGTTGGCTGACGTCAGTCGAGCGGCTGGTATGGCAATATGTGTACATGTGAAAAGGCAGACAGGAGCCAGCCGGTGTCTTCTGCTGATTCTAGCAGCGTCAGCCAGCCGCTGGTAAAAAAAAAATACTCGTCTCTGGAGGTTACCCAATGTTCCTGGCAGAGCTAGCTTAACCTTGAACATAACTATGCACAAGGTGAAAATGAGTTAAACATACTGTACACATTGTACGCACTGAGAATTGCTGTATTTCGAATTAATTAAACGCCACATAAAGGGTTTCGAGGTGAATCAATTGCCACAAGGTTGGTTTTTTTTTACACTTTTTTTTCTCTCAGGATCACAACCATTTCTATGGTGGTGTGATAAGGTTAATTAAAATGTCCCCTGTGTTATTTGATTATAATACTAAATGTATCCGTTACCTTTTGTACTTTAAATTGTCTAAATATAGAATGAATTCAAATAAAAGTTATCAGCGGAAATACAATGTAATGCATGCAAATGTTCTTGTTAGATAATTGTACTATTTCAGACGTCAATTGAATTTGGGACAATTTCTTTAGCCGATGAATACATTAAATTAGCGTACATCATCTAAAATTGCAATTTATCTGGATCGTAAAATGTTTCATAATTCCGCTAAAATATTCAGAATATGGAAATTTAAACCCAGGCTGTGGCCAGTGGCAGAATCATTTGCTGAAATGGCAATAATCTACAGTGAAGAGCTTTCTGATACTGCTCATGTTCAGACAGTGATTCATTAATGGGAACATAAAGGGTACATCGACACAAAAAATGAGGTCACTGCCTTTAGCGACGTAGCTGTTCCACTCCAACAGCTGTGAGAACGCAGATGTTGCGCTAAACAGCACACTTAGGACAGAATAGACATTAGTCTGCAGATGCATCAATTAACCATAAATTAGAAATACAATTCTCTTATGGTTGCACATCAGTTCTTGATGACGCATATGGAAAATGTTATTAAAACATCCCCCATGTATTACATGGCCGCACTCTTTAAATGCTGTAAATTCCCAATGCCCGTAATAAAAGTTTTTTTTTTGTTTCAATTAAAGGGCAAATAGTGGAACAGCGTAATTTTGTCCGAGTCAGTTTTTTTTTATATTTGCAGAATTAAACATAAGTGCTCTATGCCTGGTATTTCCACTGTACATTAATTAACATTTTCACTTTCTGCCAAATTAATAGATTTTTCGGGGGCATAAGTGCCATGGTTTATCATACCTTCAGGATTTCCTGCAGTGCTTATAACTTTGCAGTCAATAGGCTCGGATACGTAAGAGTGTAATTATTTTACCTGGCCTTGCTTTACATCTACTAGGTGAAGCTGCATCTGGTGGGCGCTTGTCCAGCACAGACTAACATTTTTGCAAGGGTGCCTCATTGATCTACATAGGTGGCTTTTCTTAGTTTGATTGTGCATTATACGGCAATTTAATGTATTACTTTAAAAAAAAAACATATATTTTGCATATTATTGTATGCAATTTTTGATGATGAAATACAATGCTCGCAAGGCATTACTCTGTCTACTTAGCCCCACCGTGTGGTCACAAAGTAGTAGACACAAATACAAAGGACATCAGAACATGACGAGTAGCTTTGGCTGCAAAAGCATAAAATGAAACCCTTGAAAACCATTGTACATTTCTTATCACAGATCATAACCCCACGCACACACACACCGCATTGATTTATGTTTTGGAATGCCATTTAATGTATGTGCATGATCAAGCCAGTGATTTAAATTAAAAAAGCATGTGCCTCTATAATTCCAGATTAACACGTACTTTATCATTGTCACCATTTCCGCATCAAAGGACTAATTGCTTGCCGCTTGATATTGTGAGCAGATATTAATGGCGTGGCGTGTGATCAGACGGCAATTATCCTCTTTTGCCGCACAAATCCAGGGCACTGTGCTGACACCCCCCATGGAGACAGCAATGTCCATGCAACCGACAGGCATGATGGGACCAATGGCCCAGCAGATGTCCCATCTCTCATTGGGCAGTACCGCCACAGTGAGTGAGCAGCCTCCTTCCTTCTCTACCCAACACATTTCATTTTCTTTGTTTATTTCCCGCAAATACGGGCCAAAATTATGATGTGGAAAATACGGCACAAAAATAATAGTTTTCGTGTTTACAATGGAGAAAGAGAAATACAAATATCTTCGCGTAATATTCCAAATGGGAAAAGAATTGTCGTGTCCCTCGGTTCAAATTTTAGTTTGTGCGTTGCACAAATCTCATAAAATGCAACTGTACAGAATAAACCATAAAGTGTTATTGCTTAGCATATCTAGAACCGTATATTGGGAAGATGAAGGGGCCTTACTGGGATTATTTATCAAAATACTACCGTGGTAAGATAAGCAGCTTTCTATGAGTAATCACCTGTTTTCTTCAAACACAGCTTGGAAAAGGGGTTATTAATCAGGATGATTTATGCAGTGTCAAATATAAGGGCCATGATTAATTATATACACGCCTTGTATGCAACCATTTGCACATTTAAACCACATTGCATACGAGAAAGCAGTTGTTAGCTGAGATAGAAAAACAATTTCAGGTAGAGATAAATAATACATTGGTATACATTTGTAAAATTGCCAATCACATGGCATGTTTGTCTTGTGACATCCGAGCCAAATATAAGATGAAAACGTGGATTTAATTCTTAAATAATATTCTGACTTAAATTACACAGGACCGTAGTGTGTGTGTGCACGCAGGTCTCCTAAATGTGTATTTTATATATTACTCAATGTTGCTCACTCAAATAAAACCTGTGTGAATTTAGCATGGAGCTTGAATAAAATTAGGCTCCTGTTTGAAACAACAGATGCTGATGTGTTTATTCTAATCTTCGCACTCGTTTGTTTTCTTTTTGTCTCTGAAGTATATGCCAGCAACAGGCCCTGTGCAAGGCACATACATCCCTCAGTACACCCCTGTGCCTCCAACACCTGTTACATTGGAGGTGAGGCCCATTTTCTCTGACTCACGGTTTGGCATGGCTACTGCATCATGCAAGGAACGTCACACATGCAGGAACATCTGAAATTATGTTGGGTTCGTGTTAGATTATGTTGAGGCAAATCAATTGGCATTTATAAATGTTTATATGAATTAATGTGATAAAAGGGGCAGGTTTATGAGGTATGGTTAAACAAAAGTGAGTGTTATATGAAATATTTGGTTTCTCTTGCTACTATTTTGTCAATGCCATCTGTAATAATAATATTTGAGCAAAAATCTTCCATGGCCTCGGTCATGTTTAAATATTTAAACATAACCGAGGTCGTGAACGATTTTGAAGACATTGGGAGAGGTTTTTGCAGTGCATTTGCAGGTGAGTCTTTTATATAGGCTTAGGATTGCGTTGGTGTGAATTATTTTGGGTATTTCATTTCAAAACGTTCCAAAGGGCACTAAGTGTGGATCAGAAATGTGAACACTGACAGAGAAAATGGAAAAGAATAAAAGTGTGCAAAGGAGCATGGAGAGGTGCATGCTTGGCAATTACACTGAGAGGCAGGAAGGGGATTAGAGAACACATGCAAGATAAAGACGTCATATTAAGTAAGTGTCCTTGGGCAAAATGCATTGTTAGAAGGGATAATGGCCGATGGTCGAAATTGGTGATAGTGGCAGCCAAAGGGCAATACAAGCCTGATAGGATGATCACGGTGGAGAGGAAGCAATGAGATCGGCTCGTGTGCAGTAGTTCCATGAATATTTACATCTTGAGGTGAATAGGGAGCAGATACTTTTTTTGTTTGTTATTCAGTAGGGAGTAGGTAGATGTCACAATTGATTGCAAACAGTTGCACAGAGTTGGAATTGTGAACAGTAAACAAAGGGTTGTTATTTCGCAGAATCCCGAGAGATGAGGGCAGATTTGGGAGGCCTTAATCCAACAGTGACTTGGCCATGGCTGATGATGAAACAGAGGGATGTTATATAATTTTTGAGCAGTAGGGAACAATGAGCAGCTTCTTCTTCATTGTACCACAGTTATATTGCATTGCTTCTTGTGTTTAGTAATTGAGTAACGTTACACATTAACAAAGTCTGTTTTGGTAAAGTCACGTAGAAGGGAAATAATAAAATAAAACATATATTAAACAATAAAAATTATCACGACGTTTCGATTGCAACACAAGCAATCATCATCATGTGTGAAATCCACGGCAAGAAATTTTGAAGAAAAAAAAGACTTTTTTCAGAAAATGTGAAAAAAAAAATTCAAATTTTCTTGCTGTGGATTTGACACCTGATGATTGCAGTCGAAACGTTGTGATAATTTTTATTGTTTTATATTTTTATTATTTTATTATTTCCCTTCTACGTGACTTTACCGAAAGAACCAAAAATATAAATCCCTGCAGTCACGAAAGCTTTAAATCAAAATTTTAAGTCTGTTTTATACCGTAACATAATGTTTAGGTCCGTTAGCTTTCAGCACCAGTGTTTTCCAGGATAATTTGTTTAAACAGGCACACTGTGGACTGGTTTCAACATTTTGATCATCATCAGCACAGTGTGGTCTTTTAAACCAATGCTGCCTTTGTCTAACTTCCCAAGAAGTAGAATGCAAAAATGTGGCCAGAGAGGAAAATAATAAACAAGGCCATGAAGTATGTTTAAGACCGTGGGAGAGTTGTTTATAGTTTATTTGCAGGTGAATGAAGAGATGTTAGACTTTAAAATATGGAGATCAGAGGTTTAGTGAGTCTATCGAGAGAGAAAACGTTTAATAGATTTATTTTCTCAGTTTGGTGTGGGCCTGAAAAATATAGGAATTGCATCCCATTATGGTGGCTGCTCATTTGTGGTTTCATTGCAATAAGCACTCAGAATGATATTCCCTATACCCATAGGTAGTGGAAATAATTGTGGCTGATATATAAATGTTTACAAGTTGCACATGTTTCCTTATTTCTTATGTTGAAAATGATTGATCGAAAACAATAGAGCACAAGGTCGTCACGAGCAGCACACGTGGTAGACACAGAAGGCGCAATGGTTCTGTTTTTTCATGCGACAATATGTTCAGGAGCTACATGCCAATGTCAAGGTCTGCTAGCCACGACAAGAGAGTTTGTGTAGTTTTGCTTCTCCTCCCGTTGACGGAGCACAGACTACAGTGGCTTACTATATGGTCTATAATTTAGGTTGCATGACCACAATAGCATTGTGGCTTGTCTTTCATTTTCCATGTGTGGAGGTGTGTTTGCATCAGCCTGTTGATGTTCTGATGTGGTTAATGGTACATCATCGTCTTCGATGAATGTCAAAGCCAGGAGGTGCGATGTTTGAATCCTTGGGGCGAACTTGTGCTGTGTTTGATTAACGCAAACTGATAAGCAGGTTTCATGGTGCTAAGCCCTGTTAGAGCCACTCGCCAGCCTATGTCTTTCACCATATTAGCATCTTCATACGATGAAAAATACACGTGAAGGCATTCAACCACAGGTAGGAGGAAAAAAGCCGAACAAAGAATGTCTGCTTCATGTTGTCCGCTATTCGTGTGTTGCAGGAGCATGGAGGTCAGCAGCAACAGCAAGTAGAGACAGCACCTGATCATGGTGCCTACACCTATCAGCAGGGCAAGTGACAGTCAGAGTTAGGGGTGAGCATGGTCAATATAGACGATTTTTTTTTCTACATTCACCTAGCCAAAGTTTTCCCATTTGTAAGAGTTTTTTTTTACTTTAAAGGACAAACCATGATTTCTAAATAGTTTTCCATTGTTGTCCAACTGGACAAGTGAATTCAAATGCATGGAAATTTTAATGGATGATGGTACATTCTTTCCACTGCATGCAGTTTTTTGTTTATTTTTGTTCTCATACACAAGTAAGAAATGTAGTGTGTTGCTTGTATGGATATATAAAGCACAAGTAGTATTCATTAAGTTAATGAAATGTTGGCACATTCTGACAGTTTGAATTGTAAAGTCTCTCATATTTTTAAAGAAGGTAAACAAATAAAACACTTAACACTGCAGACTAACTCGATGATAATGCATATATGCAGAAATATGAGCCAAATGGGAGAGTACATTGCTACAATGTAATAAAAAATACATGCGTAATATAACCTCGTTTTTCATATTGCAAATATTGCAAACGTCCGTGCTTTTGTGGTGATGTGGGTGATGTGTGTACCCATTGGCGCTAATTTAGCCATTTGCATTCTGCCTGCCCTTCACGCATGATGGTTAATTTGCTGCTAATTTATGTTGTGCAATGCACAGATAGCCCTTCACAACGCACGCAACATAAATGTTTGCCTGGCAACATAACAAAGCAGCATGACATTGCATGTGCGCAGGAGTGATTGAAATGCGGAGAATCTAAACACATTACCTATGTATGTATATATTTCATTTTACATGTATATTTGAAAAAAGTTGACCGAAAAACATCATTATGTGGCTGATTTGTTAATTTAATACGAGTTTTATTTTTGTTTTTCAGAAAGTATGTGGAGAGTGTGTTCCAATCAAGGTTTTTTGCTACAGCAAGTTTTCACGTAGAAGGTGTCCGTTTTGCACAAGCAGGAAATCAAGAACTTTTTATTTCATGAAACAATTACCTAAAACTGCTATTTTTGGTATGAGTTCTTTCGAAGAACCTAAATAGTTCATCTGATTGCTATGATCTTCAGATTCCTTTATTTTGCTATGGAAGAATTATTTTTAAAGAGAATCTGTCAAACGTATTGACTTAAATATTAGGTTGAAAATCAAAACAAGTGAAAAGATATAGACCTTGCGAGTGGCTTGAATGGGTGAAGTCTCGAGTCAGGCTGGAGTTTAAAAAGTATACTATTGAGAGATGCATTCTTTATTTGCGTTATGTTACGTTTGTTTCGTTCCCCTTTTTTCCTTCAAGATAAGACTTAGTATTAGGTTTAGTTTTGTTTTAAGAACTAGAAATTTGAAGAGTTTTTCGAGTTGCTATTTTTTATCATGTTTTTTTTTTACGAGCGGTTGGATTCTCTTTCCTTAGGGAATATTTGATAAAGATGTTTTTTTTCTGTTCTCACTGGCCTTAAGCTTTTTAACTTTTAGTATCTTTTCAGAAAATAACACATGATTAATTAGTTTAGGTCACTCAGCTTGGGGCACAAATTTAGTCAAAAGCATTTTGTCAACATTTCAGAGTAGATCTTCATTTGTGGAAGAGTTTACTTTTCCCAATTGCTAAGCTTAGAAACATAGACTAGAGGTGCTTTTATTTCGATTTAAGTTTGCTTTACATGAAAATGAAAAAATGAAAAACATTTTGTAAATCTCAAAGAAAGCTTTTTTAATGAGTTTAAATCAAATGGGGAATATGGCGTTTCCAATGAAATGTTTTTGATGGGTGACAAATAAAGGGCAGCATTAGCAGAGGGCAAACGATTTCTTTTTATTATCATGAACCATGTCTTGAAACTCAAGTCATTTATTGGGAATTAATGAAATACAGTGGTTACATTATACATGCTTTAAGTATGGCAGCTGATGATTTGGTTAAATGTATACAATTGTGAATTGAACAATGTAGAATTTAATTTGAAAATCAGTGGACTTGTCATGAGAAGACGTTTCTGATCAGTACCAAAGATGTGCAAACCAATTCCCTGTCGATGATATGTGTTTCTTGATGCATTACAAGTTATTTTTTTGTTGTTTATTTGGCCGGACCATGTTTCTTCTAGTTTTTTTTATTGTTTTATTTCTTTTTTCGTGATATATACGCATGTTCAAAGAACTATAGATTTATTTCACTACAGATGGTGACAAAAAACCCCTTTGAAGCTATGAAATACAGTTTCATTCTCCACAAAAGGTATTAAAAAAAAGCATTACTTTTTCAATAAATCACGCATCATGATGTATGTCGTTTGTTCCAATTAAATCTTTAAATTGACTTCATCTACAATTGAGTCGGCAGCACTTGCAATTTATCTACCTCAGGTTGTGGTGTTATGCCAGCTGCTTGCCTGACTGCGACAATCAGATGACAAATTTAACAGGTGTCCCTTTAATTATGAGAAATCAGTAATTTCATAGCTCCAAATTGTCATTGAGGAAACATTTTAACGTAAAAAAGAATGTTGATTTGTTGATACATTTTTGTTGTTAGTCACTGTTTTTAAATGAGTGGTTGAATGGTTTGATGTTATGTCTTGGTTGATTGTTGTGAGCAACAAAAGCGCTTGATGCATGATGCTGTAAGGTCGACAAGTGTGAGATTGTTGTAAGATTGGACGTGGAATGGTGCAGAATTGAAATAATTGGCAATGCTGTAAAAATGTATGTAAATTATACACAATTAACTTCCAACCTCTGCAGCAAAATCACAGTTGTTTGTTTGTGGCATTGTGTAGAGTCTAAATGTTTGGCTTGCTAAAGTTTCTTTAAAAGTTTTTGCAGCTGTAATCATCACACGAATGTTGTACTTCATCTTTATTATTTGCATTAAATGAAGTGTATTGTGTTTTTTATTTTGTAGAAAGTTACTTATATAGCGCCTTGGACTAATTTAAATGTTTGAATAAAAACAACGCTGCGTAAGCTTTTAATTAAACTCTACCAAGCCCCTTAAAAAACGCGACTGCAGTGAAAAAAACATCATTTACAGTCTACAACCGTAAAAAAATTCTGTACATAAAAAATCAGTTCCATCTCATTTTACAGCCATTTACTAAGTTAAGTAAGTTTTAATTTATAAAGAGGAGACCTTTTTGTACAGATGCTCATAGAGATGTCTATATGAACAACAGAGAGATTTTTATTTTTGCTGTTCCTGTGCCACAACCTTGCCAGGGAAAGGGTTATTTGTTTTAGGTTTTCTTTTACTCCCCATCAGATAGCTGTCGGTTTTTATTTCGATTTTATGGTAGGTAGCTGTAGTGCACGCTTCTGTAGAATTCTGCAAACTGTCTTCAACTCTGTTGTCAGCCCTTGACAATTGTTTTAAATAAAAATGTTGCAATAAACGTTTTCGGTGTTGCTTGTTTTACTCTATGAATGTAATTGTTTTCCCACGTGAAGCAATGCATAAAGATGCACTTTATTTTTATTCCTGCTTGAATTTCAGTTTAACATTTTCAGTGTAATGCTGCCATCATTCCGACATTAAATTTATATTCATGGAAAATTTTAAATAGTTTTAACTTGTAGAACAATTTAAATCGTAGCACCAATTGATGTGTGTGGAAATATTATCAGTGCAGTTTATGAAAAGAATGTTTCATTGTTTGGAACGCATCACCTCGGTGTCATGATTAACACTTGAAAATTGTGTAAAAAGTGTGATCGATATGTGTCGTGTTTGATGGCACTTCATGAATTTTCGGGCAAAAAGCATAGCACAAATTACATTTCCTATGACAATATCTTCTATCGATTATTATCACTGGTTATTACCCACTCACAGTCGGGCAGACTTCCGCATTTGGCACTACAGTATTGCCCATTGTCCGTTAGAAATTCCATTACCATTTCTACTTTTGTCCTGATTTTATCAGCTGCATCTTAACTCACACCGGGTTTTTTTCCCCCAAGGCCTGTGATGTTTCTAATTCAGATTAATTATATACCCCATTCTCTCTCTTGTATGCACTCTGAACTTGGTGACCAACGTTCAATTACCGGTCATGAGTAACATCAGTGGCATAGAGAGGCCTTCATCGGTGGCGCCACGGTGGCGAGATGTTAACTACCTTGCCTGGTATAAAGGTTGTGGGTTCGATCCCGACCCTGACGCCTGTATATTTGGAGTTTGCTTGTTCTCCCCGTAGTTGCGCGGATTTTTCTCCAGGTCCTCCAGTGTTTCGCTCCACATTTAGAAACATGCGTTTACAGTGTTTGGCTGCTATAAATGTCAACATGATAAGCCACTTAATTGGGCTATAATTTGTGGCCAGGTCGCTTCTGAAAAAGAGTGATATAGCTTAGTGGGACTTACCTGGTAAAATTAAAATTGTCTAGTTTTAGTTTCATCCATTGGGTTACAGGGAATACAATATATGGTTGCCTTTAAATATACACACACACTTGGTTGTCATAGAATAAAGAGCATTTGGATGAAGATTTTATTAGTAAGCCAATTTAAGAAACCATAGAATAAAACAGAAAACAAGTGAAATCTACAATCAACACACTTGTTTTATTTTTAATAAACCATTTTAATTGTAAAATGTACATGTTGAGTTTCAGGGGGGAGATGAAAATTAAATCTCATCTGTATTTGGTCATTGCTTATATATCTCCACCTCATAACAGCCTAATGGTAAACTCCACATGCAGGCTAACTGCAGAATGTGCCGTTAGTTTACACTTATTTGATGAATTACAATAGATGCCCCTCTCTTTAGCTAAAGGCCCTTTTTCTGTACTGTAATTACAAGTCATTACAGCATTTAAAGGCCTTTGTGTAATTAATTACAGCAAAAGTACATGTATTACGTGTCACCAGCAATTCGTGCATTTAAATAGACTAAATTATTGTTGTACTGCTCCAAAATGATATAGAAAATGCATAGCAAATTAAAACAGGTGTTATAGTTCAAATTTGTATAGATAACACTTTTAATGCAAGTGATATTTCGCTATACATCACTGTATTCCAAAGGAAACACTATACAGTACATAAACTATACATATCAGCAGCATAGGCTAATTGGTTCTTTGAAAATGTCAAGATTTATCGGCACAATTGGACGAAACAAATGCCCTCTAAAGATGTTAGCTCTATTAACCATGTCCAGCCAAGAAGAAGTGCTTGCATTCCTTTTGCCAGAATAGACTATATACCACAGTAATAACAACGGAAACGGTGAGTTAAGATAACATGCGGCAGCATTAACATTTACAATGTAATTATTATATGAAACTTTGCCAGGTAATATTGTGCATATTACGTGGAAATAAAGTTTAAATTCCACAGCGAATAAGTGAAATAGAACAAAGTTTGTTGGTTAGTTGTGTTTTTACATGTGACATTCTTTTCACAAGTGCTAAAATACTAAATGCTGTGGTGTTAGCCATCATCTTGTAGCCAGGCAGCTGTTTCTTCCAGCAAGTTTTCCATCTCCTCATATTCATTGGATAGACTAGAATGCTGCATTTCTACAGAGTCGTCTGAATATATTGTTTTAGCTTTCACAAGCTCATCTGGACTGTCCTCATCATTTTGAAAGCTCTCTTCGTGAAATGAACGTTGAGTGTAAGGCTGCAAGCATATCGGAAAAATACAGATAATCTTAATAACGTAATGTTTATATAGCTAATTTAAGACTTCAAATGTAGTTAAATGTCAGCACGTCACTGAACAGGTATTCTTCTTTAGGTTATTTCAAATTTGCATGCATTCTCCTTAATAAAGTACCATTAATGCATTTTACAGGAATGATATGCAAAAAAATGTAGTACCTGACTATCACATTTCTTTTTGTCGATCATATTTTCATTCAATATATCCACCTCCATGAGCAAGTGATATGTTTCTTGCAACATTTCTTCACCTGTGCTGTTAGAACCTTTTGGTTGAAATCGTAAAAAAACACATCAGTTCATTCATTACATTCAAGTGACAGTTTGCAGCAAAAAAAAAAGTAGACCATGAATTCAATCCTGGTACACACTCATGGATATATGTGCAAATACATCAATTGCTTATATGGTATAGCAAAACCTGTCAAAGCTGGACTCTAGTACATTGGAACTCAGGGCAAGCTAGGAATACCCAAAACAAATATTAAAAGCTTCAACCAAAAAAAATCCAACCCGAACACTGTTCCTTCGCAAATGAAACGAGATCCAGTAGGAAACGGAAATTGCATACTGTACTTAAATGTTGTACAATATAGATTCTGAAATCCGTTTCCATGGATGCCATGTACTGTTGTTAGTGCTCTTACCCTAATTTTTTGTTACATTAACAAAAAAATACGGTACATTATTTCAGCCTGTCAAAATATTGCATAAGCCTTCCACATTCAGTGAACCTCACTCAGCCTACACCTGCTGTTTCAGTGATTGTGGAAAGGATGAAACCCTTTTTTATGATATTTTAAGCATTCATTTATTCATTAGGTGTTTATTACATCGACATGTAATTGTACTATAATTGTAGTATTTGCTCGTTAATAGTTTTCAGTTACCAGAATCAAGGCAATTAGTCCAGCTTCGAGAGATGTTCCTGTATTTTTTGTCTTAGAAATTGCATTAGCATGCCTTTGCATTCCCAGCCTTCCTTACCTGTAAAGTGACATAAATGTAGTCTTTCTTCACAGGGTATTGATATCATTTCATTCGCTTCTTTTAGTGCTGTGTTCAGCCAACCCCCGTTTCTGGCTTTAGAGGGCACATTCTGAAAGATGGCAGTGTTTAGATAAAGTAGAGTACACATTTAGAAAAAATGGAATTCAGGGATCTCACTCAGTGTGTGCTTGCATACCTTTAGTTGAGAAAATGGTTCCATTTGTTGTACGTTAATCCATTTTCTACTCCGTGGTTGACCAAGGTATTCCACATGATAGCTGACATCATTATGTTTTCGGTTCATATCCTTGCCATTGTCTGGGTCTGGACACACAACAGCTGGCCATCTGTAATATAACATTGGCTAATTAACATCAATTCATAATCATTAGTTCCTAGCACATTCTGGGACTGTGCATTTTTCTTAACCTTCATAAAATGTTAAACATCTGATAAAGACGTTTTTCAATAAAATACATGTTTCCACAATCGGAAAATCATTATTAATCCAATAATGGATGACGGCCTCCTCAAGCCATTACCATCTCTCAGTCTTGTGATGTCATAATACATCTATCAACTGCACATAAACTAATTTATTCACTCCGTCTCCTTGGTGAAAGTCCTCTTATGCTGCCACTGTCATTCGTCTCAACCACTGGCCGTGAACCATTCGGACAACGTGTCCTACCTAAACCCACATACTTTTTCTTGAAGGTCAAAATTACGTCTTTAACTTGCATGTTCCCTAATTCACGTCTTCTGTTTTCTGTATATTCATTAAATCCAATGCATGCAACTTTGTTTACTTTTCATTCCCATAAAACATTTAAACATTTACAAAGGTTGTTTTCCCAATAACATACAAAATTTACAACAGCATTTGGAATTAATACTTTAGCAGTTTTATGTTAGTAAATAGTTTAAGCAGTGTTACTACTCTTGCATAAAATATTATCTACATATTTCAGCACTGAAAATTACAATAGTTATATTGAAAACCGAAATTATCATGTGATGCTATATTCATTTAAAAAAACAAAGTGAGAAATATCATGTCATTATGTCGCCCAACAACAAAAGTTTGAATAACCAATAACTGAAAATACATATTTTAAAACATACAAAGAAACGTGACACTATCTTGTTGCCAATAATCTCCTGAATCTCTCTCATGACTAGCAGACCTCGACATTGGCATTTAGCTCCTAAACATATTGCAATACGCAAGAAAATAGCCACGGATAACCCTTACCGAGGATAGCCTGTCATTTTCGCCCACACGAGGCTGCCCGTTTGGTAATTATGAGAAAACACCACTTCCAGGCCATGGCAGGTGAGCTCCTCAATGCTGGGGTAGGGTTCTTCAAGGTCCTCACAGGAACTGTGGGAAATGTCGCCGTTCATGTGGCAATACCATGGCAGCTCGACCGCAAGGGACGCCATCTCCTTGACCGAGATGGACCGCCACTTCTGACAATCCAAGTGCTCACACTGCACCCAGGCCAAGTCCTCCTCTTTCTCTTGGTCGCCAAGCCCCTTGCTTCTCCTTGAGGAGTTGTACTGCAGCGACAAATGTGACACACACTACCACGATTGGTTTGCCACCTGTCCTGGTTTTCCAAGGATCCTACTCTTTTTGAGGTAGTAGCTGTCCTGAGTAATCTGTAAATCCTCCCGGATTATAAAATAATAAAGTCCCAGTTTTTGTAAATTACACGTAGTTCTCTCTTCCGGTACTATAAGATAATATTTCCATAATATGTCCCTGTTTTTTGTACCTCAAGAGGTGGCAACCCTAGACCACGGCTTTGTGAGCACCAGGCACTGATAGAAGATGCTATATATCTCATTATTGCAGGTGGATTATTATAAACATGTTAATGACGAGCAGTAATTCAGGGGTAGTCCCGACAGTGACCTGACAATTCCCTCGGGGCCACCAGTGAGGTATTGCAATCTTGTAAACAGATGGAGTGGTGAGTGCACAATTGTGAAGTCGTTTTTTATATTCGTTTTTTTTTTGCTTTATTTTTAAGTTAATTATGCTGTCGGTGGGTTCATATGCAACTAATGTACATGCAGATCGAACCTCAAGAATAAATACAGCAAGACATTTAAATATAGGCATGCAATATGAACATTAAAATTATATTGAGGCGAATTAAGAAAATACTAAAGTACTATAGGAATTACAGGTTTCCCTCGATTTACGAACATTCGGTTTACGAAATTTCACGTTAACGCAATTAACAAATTGTGGACGCTTTTCGACTAACGAAATCGAATTTCCGCGTGAACGAATTGCACATGGCACGCACCACGAGATCATCAAACCAGAAGCACCCAGCCAGGCTGCGTCAACCATCCGCGACATTGTCACGGTATTCCTACAATGCAACAGCAAATGCCTCCACATCACTTTTTCAGTAATTCCAACACGCAGATCGTTGGTGAGTTCCCTGAAATAGTTCATTCTCTTTTTCGTTTGAAATCAATAATTACTCATTCGTTTACTGTTCATATTCTTTACATATTTGTTTCTGTATTGTGAAAAGGCATGCAGATGTAAATGTTTAGTATAAGAGTAGAGTTGAAATGACTGTCCGAAACACATCCCTAGCGTTTTAGCATTAAATGAATGGGAAACGCCATTCCGATTTACGAAATTTCGTTATATACGTGGAATACCTATATATATATGTTTCCATCTATTATTGCAAACAGTTAAATGTAGTATTCCTCCAAGGATATATGGTAACGTTCAGTACTGTACAATACTTTTTGTCAATCCACTGCTGGATAAGAACCTTACACCCCGTTGGCTTATTTTTGTTTTGGGACCATAACTTCACCACACCGGTCAGTGAAGGCGGGGAGGAAGCACGAAACAAATAGATTCCTGCGGAAGGAGCTGGTAAGGAACGTTGGGTTGCTCGGTCAATGGCCAGGGTCAACGGCGGCGTGGTGTATTCCGCAAATACGCCCGACTGTGAGGGCGGGCACAAGCCGGCGTGAGTAGGTTAAACGTTGAGTTTTATAAGGGCACCACGGGGTGACCAGCCCCTCCCCACCCAGCCCCTCCCTCCCCACCCAGCCCCTCCCCACTCAGCCCCTCCCCACCCAGCCCCACCCCTCCCACCCCCCCACCCAGCCCCTCCCCACCCAGCCCCTCCCCACCCTCCCCTCCCCACCCAGCCCCTCCCTCCCCACCCAGCCCCTCCCTGCACGACGGACGGACGGACGGACACAATAATCCCCTGTGGGCTGGTGTAAACAGGAGGTTCCTACCAGTAATAGAGTTTGCTCTCCATAATAGTTGTTATGTGTGTTTGATCGCGTAAATATATAATGTGTCGTTAAAACCCGCCACCACCCGACACAGCGGTGTGTTGGAGAGCCAAGCCACAACATTTACCATCTGAGTACGACGAGATTTGCTCTCTACTGCTGTACTGCCCTCTGCTGACCACCGTGTAATCTTTTGGACAAACCCATCCGAGTTCTGACGGGCAGATTCCGGGCGATTTGGTCACACGCAGAAATAAAGTGTTGAAGTAATGGTACAGCGTCTGAATATAACAATCTTGTATGAATAAACATTTTATTAACATCGTATATTACCCCCCCCCTCCCACCCCCACAGAGCCCATTAAATGGCTTAATAACCTCGAAATACTGTACACGTATAATGTTGCCATGAGAAATAATAAGATCAGGATGCTGTGTTAGTGTGTATTTTGGCAGTGGTAATTACATTTGTAATGCATAATTATGATACCATCAGGCGTATTTGCAATTATAATTCGGGCTTTTGGAGCGATTACGTCACCTTCCGTTTGGCTGTGGCCATTGCCGAGACGTCGTGACCCTCACGCGGCGTTCGCGCCTTTCGCCCTGCACGTGACCCCTCACCCTGCACGTGACCCCCTCACCCTGCACGTGACCCCCTCTCCCTGCACGTGACCCCCTCACCCTGCACGTGACCCCCTCTCCCTGCACGTGACCCCCTCACCCTGCACGTGACCCCCTCACCCTGCACGTGACCCCCTCACCCTGCACGTGACCCCCTCACCCTGCACGTGACTACCCCTGCACGTGACCCCCTCACCCTGCACGTGACCCCCTCACCCTGCACGTGACTCACCCTGCACGTGACTAACCCCCTCACCCTGCACGTGACCCCCTCACCCTGCACGTGACCCCCTCACCCTGCACGTGACTAACCCTGCACGTGACCCCCTCTCCCGGCACGTGACTCTCACCCTGCACGTGACCCCCTCTCCCGGCACGTGACTCTCACCCTGCACGTGACCCTCGCCCTGCAAGTGACCAACCCTCTCACCCAGCACGTGACTAACCCTCTCACTCTGCACGTGACCCCCACCCTGCTTCGCTACAAGGTGTGGTGATGATGGGCCGGTGGTCGAGACTAACGACGGAGGGACAGCCAAATGAGGGAAAGACGCCCGCCAGGATTGCGATAACCGCGGAGACAGAGCAAATAGATCAGCTCATGTGCAGGGACGAGATGGATTGTGGCTTTTGGAAAGGCGTTCATACTCAATATAACCTTACATTGATTATTATATGCTATAAATTAAGTCAGTAAAATCTATTGGTATATAGAAGTTTGTCCGACATGCAGCTTATCTTGTTTCATGAGTTCACATTCACACTGCCATGTTACTTGTACAGTAAAACAGAGTACAGTATTGTGCTTTCCGTCCCGTTGCATTCTTTTCGCGCGGGAAACCGCATGGCAATGCGTCCTGCAGATTACTGTGGTACAACAAAGGTCAACTTGGGAAGTGAAACTGGAACATAATCAGAATAGATTTTACCCTTTCTGGCAATAAAACAGGTGTTAAGACGTTCAAACACCAAATAGAAATCTACACAATTTTGTAGCTGCTCACCCCAGCCAATAAATGCTCTGATAGTGCATTGCCTTTGTACTATTCGCCTTTTGGCGTTCTCTGGTCAGACACTGGTGAGATGAGGCCATACAGAAGGCTGTCTTTGGTGTAGGCCAATCAGTTTCAAAGACTGACATATATTAAACTAGCTTTACTACCCGGCTTCGCCCGAGGACTTGCATTCACCACGCCCGGCCGCCTTTGTCTCCCCAGTGGCAATGTTCGCACACCACAGCAGTTACTCGTTTGAGGCTGAGTCGACCAAGGGGAGGCCCAGGAGCGGTCTAAATAATAATGGTCATTGGTGGTGGCCATGAGTGGGAATCGAACTCGGGTCGCCGGGTTCGACGCTTCCACGTGCGCGGATCACGTGACAGATTTGACGTCAGATCACTTGCTGTGCAAAAAATATATGCATTATTTAGCCACCCCCCCCCCCCCCAAAAAAAGAACAAAAGTGTAATTTTATAATTTTTGCATGGTGTACAGTCTGGCAAGCACCCACATGGCACATTTCCAGTTTGTTGCATGTCGGGAAGTACGCTAAACATTTTGAACAGACACACATATTCACAACTTTGCCATTTATATATACTGTATGGAGATATCAGAGAATGTTTTTTGCATGTTCACCACAAGTACGTGTGGTTAATGCAGACATGATTCCTTGCAAAAGGTTTCTATTTGGTGTTTGAATATCTTAACACATGTTTCATTGCCATAAATGGTAAACCCTATTCTTATGTTTTCATATTATCAGGGCATGTTTGTTTGCATGTTCACCACAAGTACGTGTGGTTAGTGCAAACTTTATTCCTTGCAAAAGGTTCCCATGCCTGTCAAGCCTTTATCAACCAGTGCCTACCTTATTTAGACCAATTCGGACCTTAGTGGTCACCCTGTTGCCTTATAGATCTCAAAGTGCATCCTACAAAGTCCCATCACAAGGGAGAAATACAAATAAATAGACAAAAATGTGCCCGTATTTAAACGGCTGTATGCCATATGCCTGTACAAGAATGTGGCTAAACCGGATGTATTGACAGGTATTGGTTTCTATTTGGTGTTTGAACATATTAACACCTGCTGTTTCATTGCCATAAAGGGTCAAAACCTATTTTGATTTTTTTTAATATCTGGAAAATGCATTCTTACACGTTGTACATTTACCAAAACTTAGTCAATTGTAAGCGAGGCAAATGTACAGCAGAGGGAGCCACCAAGCAACGTTTATTTGTTTGATTCCTTTTTGGAATAAAAACAAATGAGACTAAAGTACCAGTGTCTAGCTGGTTTCGTGAGTTCTCTCTCACCTGGTTAAACTAATTCAGCTGACTAGCCAGGGACCGATAGTGAAGAATAAGAAAGGAGTTGTAGCCAAGGAATGGAGAGCCGGGCCACAAAGGAGATGGAGCGATGAATACAATCATCCAGATGTATTTTTTTTGTTAGATCGTGTAAAAGATAAATGTGTCGTTAAACCCGCCACCACCCGACACAGCCAATTAGTAAGGTTTGTCACGTTAACAGAAAATTGGCTGTCGGGTAGTGGCGGGTTTAACAACAAATGTATATTTACACGAAATAACCCAATACAACTCTATTATGGATATTGGTCCCGAAAGCCTGTTTTAAACTGATTCCATCGCAAAATCGCGAGGAGGCGGCGGTGGTGATGGCGTGGGGAGATGTCTTCATCCAGCAGTGGATTGACCGTGAATGATGATGGACTCATCGGTATACGAGTCTATGGATTATACCTGACATCAAATGAATGACGGTATTCGTTATTTTCAAGAAAACGTGACAGACCGATGCGCACGTCTTCATTAACGGAAGAAGAAATATCTAAAAAACTCCACGAACTTTCTCGGGATGCCCTCTTCGCGGCGAGCAAGACCTCTCGACATTGGCATTTAGATTTAGATTTAAAGCTTTCGTGACTGCAGGGATTCATCTTCTTGGTTCTTTCGGTAGTCACGTAGAAGGTAAATAATAAAATAATAAAAATTTAACATAAGATACAATTCTCACGACGTTTCGGCCACAACTCATTCGGACGCTGTCTTTCCGACAGCCCTGTTCTTCACCTGAGGACGGCTGCTTGCCTTGTGGCCGAAACGTCGTGAGAATTGTATTTTATTATGTTGTATTTTTATTATTTTATTATTTCCCTTCTACGTGACTTCACCGAAAGAACCAAGAAGATTGGCATTTAGTTTCTGAACATATTGCTGCTGCTGCTGCCACAGAATAGAACCTGACATCAAACAGACCCTCTGCGATTGCCATCACAATCCGCACAAACTCGTTCATAGAAATCGAACGTGGCCGAGCGTTTCGAATTATTTTCGGTGCTGTTGTTGATTTGTGCCAATGTGTGCGTGTGCAAGTTCGTACGTTTTCGGGGTTGGTGGTATTTTTATTATTTTAAGGCCACGGGAAAATCCCAGCAATGACGAACTTGGGGGGCTGACGCTGACGCAGCACCGTACTCACGGGGCTAAAGGCGCACGCGAAAAAAGAATATCCAAAACCACAACGTGGCCGATTTCTGAGCGACGAGGCCTTTTTATGCTCTAAAAATCGATACGGCGTGGACAAACACGTTACAGGTAATGGCTGATGAGTGTCAAAATGTACTCACGTCACTATGCGTGCTATTGTAATGTATAAGGGGAGCGAGAATTCACTGGCATCGCATACCTGTCAACCCCTTATCAGTGCCAACTTATCACAGACCAATTCAGACATTATTGGTCACCCCGTGGCTTTATAAATCTCAACGTTCATCATACAAAGTCCCATCGCAAGGGAGAAACACAATAAACAGATAAATGCCCTATTGACTGTACGCCGTATGGACTCGAAAACTAAATTTCCATGTACAAAGCTACGGGCAATCCGTGTGGGATGCCAGGTATGTCATCATCAGCCACGTTAAACGCCCATCAGCATTCAGTGAAAGCCATGTAAGGTGGTAGTAGTAGGGTTTTACCCTTTTAAACTGGTACAAAACTGACACCTTTATTCAAGGCATCATGTTTGCAATGACCACAACACAAGTAGTCAAAAAAGCAAACAGTGCACTGTGTTTGAGTTGTACGCCTTCTGGTGTCATCTGGTCCAACACCAATGGGGACAAGGCTCTAAAGAAAGCCGTCTCGGGTGTGGACCAATCAACTTCAAGGACAGTGCATATTATTATCATTATCAGAGTTGCTTATTTTTGTTTGCTTTTTTGACTACTTGTGTTGTGGTCATTGCAAACATGATGCCTTGAATAAAGGTGTCAGTTTTGTACCAGTTTAAAAGGGTAAAAACCTACTACTATATTTTGCCACTGGTAAAAGAGATCTCATAGTGTCCATGTAAGGTGGTTCGAGATCAGTTTAGTTTCCACTCTCTCTGGGCTGCACATTTCGTCTTATTATTAACATCAGCCATGATCGATCCGCGGCTGGATGAAGGTCTCCCAATCCCATAGTCATCCAAAGACATCTAAACCTCGTGATGCATCTGCACGCAAGATAATGCCATCGTTCCGTCTCCATGGCTCGTCCCCACCATCGGCTGTCACTCGACTATTATTTATTCTTGACCATAGGCCATCATCCCTTTCTAGCAACGTGTACTGCCCAAGCCCACTTGCTGTTTCTTCATAATAAAAAAAATTTACTCGTAAAAACTAAGTTTTTCACTCTAAATCCTTTATATGCGTGGCGGCTAGAGTCCTCTCGTCCTCTGGCTTGAGATGGCTGCCAGCATTAAGCAATTGGTAATTAAATATTTTTAAAAAATTCCCTAAACAGTGTATAATTTTGAAAAAAAAAATTTGCATGAACATAAATTGTCACGCACAACGAGTCTGTGTGCAAAATGTCAGCTCGATTGGATCACGGGAAGTGGGTTAAAAACGACCGAAAGATTTGCACGGTCGTAAGCAAGCAAGCAAGCAAGAACTTAATATAAGGATTTAGAAAAGGGAAATAAAATAAAGAGACACAGAGAGAGACAGAGAGAGAGAGAGAAGAGAGACAGAATGGGTTGTATTCGCTGCGCGTTGTTTCGACAGCGTGCGGTAATCACGTGTTGACACCCGCGGCCTCCTGCCAAGCCCGTGAGCAGGAAGCGACGCATCCAGATGCCCTCTCGCACACGCGAATGCTACAATTTTCATGGAGAAGGGGGTGATTTATTTTTTTGCTCACAACAACAACAACAAAAACACATACATACGCGTGGCCGTTGTCGCGGTGTTTTTTTGTTTTAATCGTCGTACGAATTGTGCAACGATGAACGGAGGCCGAAATTGAGCCTGGGCGATCCAGCGGCCGCCACCACCGCCGCCGCCATCTCCACTCAATTCTCCTTTCGTGTGAGTTGCACGTCTCTCGTGGCTGGAAACTCGCTCACACCGCGGGTGATTCTGTGTGGGACGTGGGGAGGAGGAAGGCCGAGGGCATTGGCTGAGTTGTCACGGAGCTGAAGGTAAAAGAAGACGACGAAACGGCTGTGGCATTTTTGGGGGTTCGCGGCCGTTCACGACTGTTGGGCCCTCTTTGCGCCAATTCTGATCGAATGGACGGGACCCCGTGGGGTGTAATCTGTTTGCTATAACATTTAAAATAAACACTGTTAGCGAGATGCGCCTCTCTAGTTTGGTCAGGTTGTGGTGTAGATAACCTTTGATAGAGCAGACACGAGCGACTTTTAAGTCAAGAGTGGCGAGGTTTGGTCAAATAGCACCCACGATCTGCGGGGAGGCACTCATCCAGCAGTGAATTGACACGTGGGCTGTACGTGAGCCACTATTGCCCTGAAATTGTTGCGTGGCCATACGCAATTTGTAGATTTACTTATGAAATAAAATCACCCAAATGCTGTGCTCGTGTAGGAATTGAATCGATTATGGCACTTTCGAGAAAAGTGGAAGTGATGTGTTGCTCAAACGAGCACTAATGTTAACAATTCTGAGCGAAATAGTGGAAATGCCATATGCCTTAAATCTCCAGCGGACGACCACTGTTGACTTCCCCACAAAGTGGCCCTCCACACTACTTGTGTCTGTCGACCCCGGAGAAGATGATGGTCCAAGTCATTCACCTGCACCAGGATTGAAAACTCATGACCTTCCGACTTGCAAGCAGCTGGCCGGATCGAAGATAAGAAATGAGTAATGCACGGTGTAGAATGTACAAAAAAAGGTGTCGGAAAATGTTTTAAAGTGTTGATTCACCTTACGTCTGTGTTGCATAGCTTATGCCATCTTTATATCGATCTGTTTTGCAAGAAATGATGTAAGTGTCTCACAGCAAGTTACCTTTTTACTCGTACAAAGTCGACTTCGGACTGCTTTGTTACCACCTTGGCTAAACAACCTGACCGACTGTTCGTACTTTGCTAATCTTAGGGCTTTTTTAAATTAACAAAGCCTCTTCTGTTCCTCAGAATGTTTGTAGTTGAGAGTTACTATAATACAGAATAAACCTACTGATAACGGTGTATGGTACACATGGAGTATTCAAGGAACTTTTAACTGTGAAATATCACCTTTTAAACCATTTACACTATGAGACCTCCTTTACCAGTTGTTTCTTTTTGTTTGCATTTTGACTGCTTGTGTTGTGGTTATTGCAAACATGATGCCTTGTATAAAGGTGTCAGTTTTGTACCAGTTTAAAGGGTAAAAACCTATTACTATACTACCTTTTAAACCCTTGAATTATTTCCTGTTAATGACCTATCAATCCGTCAACACCCGCTTTACTCTACTTCGTGGGTTTTCGCAATTGTGCTATATATATCACTGTGGTGTGTTTTCGGGTTGTACAGTGTTTTCCAGCATTATGTCCGACGTTTTGCTGACAATTATGTTTCTGCTCATGCCACTTTTTTAAGCCAGGTCGACTCCTGGTGTCTGCCAATGCGGTCAAGTAGTTATTTAATTTACGTTTTAAAACTAAAAGTAATAATGTAAATAGCTACTTGTGTTATTTTAAGATACGGCACCGTCCTGCCCACTCCACCGGAGCGTCATCAATTGGAGAACTTTATTTTCTCGTAGTACCTATCATGTTAATAATTACAACGATAATATGTGTTCTGCCCAGGACACTGCTTTTCCTCATTGAGCACAAAACGTAGAGGAGGGCTTGCTTGCGAAGACGAGAGGGTCTTCACCGGCACCATCATGATAGAGAGCCAGAGCAGCTCGGACGATGACATCTCCATCCTCAGCCAGACTGAGCTAGAAGGCGAGAAGATGGAAGGGTCATCTGGCATGGAGCCTTTGCGCCTACCCATGCAAGTCCCAGCGCCATCACAGGGACTCTCGCATAGGAGTGAGTCCGAGGACAGGCTAGGCTCGCATGGCGCGCTGCTGGTGGCATACGGAGATCTCAAGACTCGCCTGCAGCAGTCCGAGCGAGAGAACCAGTTCCTGAGACAGACTGTGCGCACGCAGGACATCAAGATTCGTCAGTTGGAAAATCTGCAGCAGGTATACCGCTTTACGCGTGCACGATCAAACGCATATGTGTTGGATAGACCAAGAAGGGTTCTCAAGTTTTGTTCCTCGCCCTGTGTTTAAAGCGTATTTGTAAATTGATAGATTCGGTCAGTGTCCTATAATCCTGACCTTATCACCCACCATGGTCTTTTTTCACGTGTATTTATATCCATATGAATGCAGATGAAGTCATTATAAGCTGCACATGCCTGATGATTGGGAAGCATGTCCCGTATGTCCGAGAAAAAGCTTCATTTAATCATCAAGAGTCTGACCTTTGTGGGTTGCTCGGACTGGAATTTGGGAAACTGCATTAGACAATTGTTCATTGGTATAGCATTTTGTCTGATTTGTTGATGAGAAAAAATAATAAATATTGGGATAAGGAAGGTGTGGGAACTTTATTTAAATCATGTTAGTAAAAATCTCATGCTTGCCATAATTATTGGCATTTTGATGTTGTTGGTATTTTTTTCATGTAATCTTATCAAGACCCATTTTGTATTATTAGACAAATAGTTGATGATGTATCGTAGTAGCATTGTCCTGGGGAGAGCATACAAGTATGTGCCTGCGTAGATATTTTTTACAAACAAGGAAATACAGTACAGTTGCAGCGTCATCATACATTGCGACATAGCCTATGCTACATTTGAACAAAAATGTATTCTGAAATTCTTGTAGGGGAAGAATGGAATGGTATCTGGCGATGGAAAAAATGGTCATGTGAGTGAGCAGTTAAACAAGGCCTACCAAGCATATCATGATAACTGTTTGGAGAAGAAAGAGATGTTTAAGAGCCTGCAGGCAAAGGTAAAGAAAGCATGCTGCATGTAGTTCATTTCATACCGAAATATATATAAATGAACACATGGATGAGATAACATATTCACATTGTATAATGATGTGCAGCGCTTTATCAATCCACTCCTGTATGAAAGCCTCCCTTCGTCTTGGCAGTCACAGGGGATGTTTGGCTACACTGCACACTATTCCAAGTGAGTTGGTGAAGGTGGGCACTCAAGGATCGGCTCGGATACCACTCAGAACTGATCTTAGCCATGGTCAGGAATTGAGCTCAGGTTTCCAGATTCATAGAACAGTGTGCGAATCTCCGTGCCAGTTTTCCAAAATTACAGACATATGCAAGTTCGAGCCATCAAATTGACTGCTAAGAACAGTAATTGGGCAGAACAATTTGCTAGAAAGGATGATAGCTGGTGCTCGGGACTAATAGCAGTGGCAGCCAAAGAGGGAAGAATTCCAAAAGGACGTCCACCAAAGAGATGGAGTGAAGAAATCAGCCCATATGCAGTTGATATATGGTTTATTACATTATAAGACTGTGGGCGATGGTAATGGCTTGGGGAAGCCTTCATGCAGTCGTGGATTGAATGGCTGGTGATGATGCAGTGCAATGGATTACCAGATATAATACACTTTGTACACCCACATATATGATTTGGATATCATGATAGGGAGGAGTGTAGACTGAAAATATGTACTTTGAATACAAATTAGAAATTAAAACTAGTTTTATTGTGTGGAGAATAGATCATGTTCAGACCCAGACCTTTGATACCTTAATGTTTATGGTTTCTCCATGGAAACAAGACTCGGTCCATTTAAAACATTTAAAATATGAAATGTTTATAACCAGATTAAATTAAACTTTTGCAAAGTATTGTTCCATGCAGTTATGAAATACTGCAATCTATTTGGTGTCAGTCGTCCTAACAGTGGTGACACATACACAACATACACCCATTCGCAACACGAGTGTAAAGGTTATAAAAATGCTTTCTCAACTGGGCACAAATAGACTAGTCTGTTGTGAGCCAAAGAATAACCCTGTTTAAGCCATTTTTCGGTTATTACCAAAATTACTCTCTTAAGCTCCTCATCGGGCCTTTTCAGTTATTTCCTTAATGGCACTTAGCTGACGGTACACAGACATAAATGGCACCTTGTCTCGTTGTGCTCAACATCAAGCTTCCCTTTGTAAGCCTTGAAACATGTGGTCTACAGCTGATTTTCCCAGGCACAATGTTACGTGTTAGCCATGACTGGCATGGATTTCAAAAGTACGTCTTTGATTTTGCCATGCATTTTCAAACTGTAATGCTCCGCTGATGTGAATGGTTACATGCAGTGCGCATGCAACTGTGTTTTTTATTTTGGAAATTCTAAAATTGTCTTGCCTGTCCGCTCATTATTAAGTAGTGTATTCATCCATTCTTCAGTGAAATGACTGCACAGAGATTACTAGAGCAGTGCACCATGGACTAAGTGAAACAAATAACAAATTGTTATATGTTTATGAGCTAATATACTAACATTCATAGATTGCATGTTAGCATTTAATACTGACCTGAATGATTAATGTTGTGGTTTCATTTAGTCTGAAGTAATGTCAAAGGTTACCTGCAGGAAATCAAGGAAATAGGCCCTGTAAACACATCCACATGAAGCAAGCAGACTTTTATTTGCAAAGATTTCACTGTACTTAGTGCTAGATTTGTTAAACAATTAAGTGAAAGCAGTTTTGTAAACACTTAAAGATTTAGCTAATAGTACATATAAAACTGACTTACATTTACTGGTTTTAAATTTTCACGTATTTATTTACACATGGACATTTTATATAAAAGTACAAATTGTGTTTGTTCGTTTAAAAATGTAAGATTTCTTTTTTATTATACTGTCGCAGTCAAATTGGAGTTGTCAGTGCTTGTGCATGCATCATGGTAAACATATGCCATTGACAGAACGATGAGGTGGATGGTCTGCAGAAAAAAGTTGAGAGCCTGGAGATGGAGGTGGAGAAGACTGTTGAGCAGCTGCAAGCTCGGGAGGTAGAGCTCCTGCAGATGGTGACAGAGACGGAGACATTGAGAGGTGCGAGTTTTACTCTCACTCAACACGGAACACTCACATGTCCAGCCTTCTTGTCAATTTACTGCTGGATGAGAGCCTTCCCATGCCATACAGGTCATGTTGGGTTATTTGACCATATTTCACCATGATTGTCAGTGCAGGTTAGTACAGGCGGGGAGCATCGACATGAAAACATAGTTCAGAAGAATGATGTATTCTGGTGCACACCCCTCGGCTGCCCGCAACCTTATTTGTTGTATAGCCTGCTTGAAATTGTCTTGTTTTTAAATTGTTGCTGCACATTGTGCAGTCCTCCTTAATGTAGTGATGTGTGTATAGTATTCTTGCTGATGCAGTTTCAAATGTATGTATCCTCATACCAATTGTAACCTAATAGTTTTTTTAATCAATATATTATAAACAGTCATAGTAGCGCACACTATATTGGCATTACGCATGTTTTAAGTACTGTACTCAGTATGTGCCGTGTGTGTGTATGCAGTAAGGGACCAGCTGTACAGTCCCCAAACACAGGAAAGGTCTCTTCCTCTTGCTGCATCCCCTGAGGTGGACATGCATCGAGAGGTGGTGCATCAGAGCAAAGTGTGTGAGCTAGAGAGCAAGGTCAAGGAGCTGGAGAAATCTCTTGAGGCAAGTCACAACAGAGAGTTACAGCTCACGGTAAGGGACATGCCAACACATTAGAAGAACTTTTGTCCTTGTCATGTTCTTATTTCTGTTGTCTTGTAACAATACAGCAAAAATGTTTAGTAACCGTTTTTTTTAGCATCCTTGTGCACATTGTATATGTATATGATCACAATATGACCCACATTCTGAGTACATTATAATGTATATGTGCTTTGTCTTTAGCTAATTTCTATCACAATTAAATATGCTTAATATTGCATATGTTATAGGTAAAGTATGAAAACTCAGATGTACATTGCTGAAGCATTTGTTAGATGTACCACATAATTTCCTACATAGTGATATATACTATATATCAGAATGTGATTGTGAAAATATTGTTTTGCTCCTTGTTGTCTAAATATAACATTTATTATTTGCAATTAGGAGCGACTCAAATTGCAGGTTCCTAACTCCTTTACAACTGAAAGTTCACGAACAGATCAAGAATTCATCTCATCCAATAGGTAAAGTGAAAATATTAGCAAATGGTGTGTTGCTAAAAACACGATGATGGTTACACAATTGTGATGGTAGTTTAATGGGCTACATCAAATGTTAGTCATACATTTTAAACATTTTTTTATCTTCTATTCTACTTGTGTTCTTTTTTATAGTTCGACAGAAATGCAAGACATTTACTTCCAACTTTGTGAGGAGTTTTCTAAGTTACAGCAATTGGCAAAACGCCAATCAGGGCTGCTCGAAAAACTGGCAGCAAAGAAGCAAACATCTGGTTTCTGTAAGTAGATTTGGAAATCTTGTGCATCCTCGATATGCTTCACTTATACACGAGATGTTTGACTCATTCGTTTATTGCATTTGTGATGACAAAACGGGTTGCCTTACTATTCTTTGTTTCTCCTACCACAGCTCCATTACAATCCTCAGAAGAACCCCATTCTCCCATTAAAGTGGTTTTACCCAGCAACCATATACATGCAGTTCATTACAGGAGTAAGGGCAATGTATCTGGAAAAGCAGACCCATTGCCCCTGGAAGACACATTCACTTTGATCAACCGAGGCTGTTCAGACAATGAGTCATTGCAGAGGTTGATCATACAGGTAACTTGTTTTTGCATCGGCGTATAAAAATGTGCCGAGTATTTTCTATGCACGCATCTTTTTAAAACATACTTTTCATATTTGAAAGGATGTATTGAATAATGAAACACCTTTTTTAATTTCCTTCATTATTTAAATGTTCACCTTTTCTAATTAATCACTTTGCAGAATGTGCCCAGCATGTGTTCAGAGGAGACGGAAGCGGCGTGTGCTGTCTGTGGACAGACATTTCCCGCTGAGCTGAAGGAAGAATACAGAAAGCATTTTCAAGCTCATTTTGGGATCATGTGACCTCTTCCATTACAATTGGCTTATTAACAACTTCGTGCCGGTCCAAAATATATAGATCACCGAAGGGGAAAAGCCACAAAATTATGCAATTCGTTATGAAAGTGCACTTTATTGGAGTCATACTATATGCATTGCAAATATAGTTGGATTTTGGTAATATCATGGTATAAAAGCAGACTTTCCACGAGAGGGCACTATTACACAACCCCATTGACATGAGTGCCGTATATTGTAACACCATTCCATTTAACGCTTCATATGGTGTGTTAGAACACCGTTGAATCATGTGAAGCTGATTTGTAAATATTATTACTACACAAAGAGTGATAGATAAACGAGTAAATGTGTATGAAAACCTACAGTTGTGCTCGGTAATTTTACCATTGTGATTTAGATACAACCTCTCAGCTTCCAAGTTCCAGCTGCCGCTTATTCTAAACAATTTTTTTAAACGTTCTGCAAACAGTAATTCTGCAGTCATCACACCATATGGTTTAAAAATGTACACTAATAGAAAGCATTGAAAAACACGTCATTCACTTATCACACTTTCTTATGCTTCAAAATAAATAAGACAAAGCAAAATTGTGTACGTGTACATTTTTAGTGAATATCTGCTGCAGATAAGGAAAATGTTGACCGTTCCTTAATGTATTTGTACAAATAGGATGAATACGCTGTAGTATGTGTTCTTGCTGTGCCATGAGAGTCCGGGAGGCTGGGGATTGAGGCAGACGCGCCAGCCTCATTAGGACGTGTCAAATCCGCCCGAGGCAACACAGACCACCCGTTGTGATCACAAGCCACCTTGTTCTACTCCAGCCAGACTGTACACTCCACATCTGTAGAATTTAATTGTGCTTATTTTGACTGTTCACTTTTTTGTCATCATGTGTGAATGTCATTGTACGGTGTGAAAAAATAATATTGGCAGATTTGGAGCACATATACAAAAACGTAGCCTTTTATGACTAATGAAAATATGTAAATAACAGGACTTTGATTCTACCATATTTTGTCTTTTTTTAATCATGTTATAACAGGTGTTAAAACACAGCAATGAACAGCACTTGTTAATCAACTGCTGGATGACGGCCTCCCCACACCGCGGGTTGTGGTTATTTGAATTCCAGATATTAAAATACAGTAATGCCAAAGTAGACACTATTACATGTGATTACTTAGCAGTTTGCAACTGCAGAATGTTTATAGTATTCGTTGCCCACCGTGCAATAAGTGTATTTTGGATTTGTTGAAGTACTCGCTTCCCTCGCATAACGCGTGACAGGCATTCTTGAAAAACAGCGTCTAAGTCGAATAGCGCTGTACGAATGCTATTTTCCCACAGACATGTTATAAGGGGGGAAGCGTTTCCAAAGAAAATATAAGTAATAGCATTGTTTTCGCCCTGGATTTACAAAATACGTATAAATGTTATACTTGATAATTGTTTTTTTTATGTTGCTACTGGCAAAGGAGGTTCCAATGGTGTAAATGTTATACTTATTAAGTATTTTGTGCAATGTTAATATTAAGGAGTTTAATAAATCATATTCAAAAGATTACTACTTGCAAAGATTACTTAATAAGAAGTAACTTCAGGGCTTCTTGAAAACGTCTGTGGGCTGCTTGCAGCAGCACGTGTGAAAAAGATATATCTATGCCCAACCCTTGGCATTGGGCGCTGCTATGCCACGGTGACGCCATCAGAAATATTTGTTAATTTTTAATTTGTATAATTGACAATTGAAACTCAAAGCTGTGAAGTATGTTCCTAAAATATGAATCGCGTAACTGCGAATTAGCGCAATGGGAGGGGCGCGTTATGCGAGGGAACGCCTGTACATCAGTTTGTTCCTCGAGATTTTACATTTCTATTCAGCATTTCGTAAGGATGCTGTTATAGCATACAGACAATTATAATAGTAATATCTACATTAATTCGCTGGTATTTGGCTATGTAAATGTACAGTGCTGGTAACCATGTCCTTTACCGATACATTCTACTGTATTTCGGAAACGCACGTTTTGTTGTGATTTTAATATCAAGTTTAAGATCTGGATATCATGTGTTACGCTCATAACTGAGGGTTGATGGACATAACAGATGCTTTCCATATTTTAAGATCTTCAGCATCTGTCATTGAGAGCCCCTTTCAACTGCTCACATTTCAATCTTGGCCATGCTACTTGTATTTTAACCTCTTGTTTACACTTGTATACATGCAGGTTAAAGACGCAATTGAATTCACTTTGAGACATTGAATATGCTACTTGCTACAAAGTTTTTACGATGTTTGCCCCTTTTATGTGATGTTACAGATATGTAGTCCGATACATAAAACAATGCAATCATGAATTTGTTATATACTAAAACAGTTGAACTCAAGATCGTTTGTGTATTTGGAAACTACTAACTGTGTAGCATATCTTTAGACTTCATCTCCGTCAGTGGCGTAGTTGTGGTTGGCATGGGTCTTGGTGAAAGGAATAAATTGGGAGCCCCTGTCCAAATTTCCCCCTCTTGCGCAGCGCCTGAGTCCATGGTCCGTGCGGCTCTTGTTCAGTTGCACCACATGCACACTCAATATCTGTACCACCGGTAAAAGGTAACGATATCTATGGGTCATCACCTGCGTTGAGAGTTTTATTTCTGTGCACTGTGTTGTGATTGTGCTGGACATTGTCAGTTACTGGGTTCCCAGTTGTTAATTGGGCTAAATTGTTAAGACAATTGATTATAATTTAATTGTTTTACTTACTAATCACCTTCCATCATGATCGATACACTGCTAGATGAAGGCCTTCCCACAACTTTATATCCCTAAAGGTCCTGCAATGCTTTAAGCTCCTGCACATGAACGGATCTCATTCATCCATTTCCAGGATGGTTATCCTCTCGGGCTTATTCTCCCCTTAAGCTGCAATTCTGTTACTATTTTTGTACATCTGTCATCCCTCTCAACAATGTGTCTTGCCCACGCCCACTTTTCTCAATAGTCATTTTGATGTCTCTAGTGGTATAATCAGCACTGTGGAGGCAGTGATGGTGGATCACACATGTTGCAAAGCTCCGTCCGGTTCAGCGTCAAGGTGCCCCATACCCTTGGCTCACCAGAAGGCAGTACAGCAAGTGAACTAATCGCCATCTGCTTCCATATATACAGGGATAGTGTTGTCCCCTTGCGTGTGTGAGTTGTCTCAGAATGCTCCGGTTTACTCCCTCTTGTATAAACACTCCGAAATTGGCTACCTTAAAATAAAAACCCAGTGCATGGCCCTCGTGAAAAGAGTCCTCCACAGCAGTGTGGCTCTCCTGGATAAACAAGTAGATTTCCAAAATGTTTAATGACGAACTCATATTTGTTCCGTGGTCCAAAGTGGCTCCTCTATCTGGTCTGTCGGTGTATTCCCAGCATGCATCAATGCCATCAACCATGAATTTCGGCATTTGCATTGTATTTGTCTGTGTCCGTGTTTCTAATCTATTGTCACAATCAAGAGTCACGATTTAATAAAACAAACAATTGATTCTCTTATCGTTTAAACCATCTCGTTTGTATGGTTAATTACTGTAGACTATTTCGTACACGGTTCGATACGTGTATTGGTAGTGGATAGAAAAAAGCATTTATTTGAATCGTGGGTTAGAGTGAATATGGTTATAAATGTACATAATCATCGTCCCCTGCTAGCAGACGAATACCCGTTTGCTGGTGCACGTACAGTCAGTCACCTCTGTGACCACAGGGGCAGCTGCCACTGGGGGTGCCCTTTCGATCTGCAGAGATGACTGTCAAGTTACCCTGACGTGGTCGTAATAATCGATTTTAATCGATTTGTGGATACTATTATGCTTGTTTGCCTTAATATTTTTCACAAATTGTTTGGTGATACTGCCGTTCGCAGTGTGCCCAACCACAAATAGCAAAAAAAAAACCACCCTGCGATCAAGGGCCATTTCTAGTTTCCTTTCAAGGCAACAGTTATTGAGGAACGTGCAAGAAGTTATTTTTAAGGTATAGTTTGAAAATATTATAACGTATTGTAAATACAGCACAGTAATCGATTTTCACACGCAATGATTCGAGAAGCGTGTGGTGAGTGGCAACATGTAGAGTACTGGGAATCGATTAATCGGTGCACGTATATACGGCTAATAGTGGCTACGCATGGTAAATCATCGACACATTCTACGTATAGTGAGAGTTACGATGAATTCATATCTGTGTATAAGCCTAATCAATCGCGTCCTGTATTTCAAATAACACATATATAACATTCCCACACCAACTGGTCTATAACACCTATCGTAATCCGGTCAATTGCATACTTGTCAAACCCTTATCAGCGCCTTCTTATTACAGACCAATTCAGACCTTATCGGTCACCCCTTGGCCTTATAAATCTCAACGTTCATCCTACAAAGTCCCATCACAAGGGAAAAACACAAACAAAGAAAAAAATAAGAATAGATTTTCCCCTTTTTTTCTGGCAACAAAACATGTGTTAAGTTTTTAAAACACCAAACTGAAACATTTTTATGAGGAATCGTGTCTGCATGAACCACAATACTTGTGGTCAGAATGCAAGCAAAAAGCGTCTGTACGCCGTTTGGACCTGGAAACTCAATTTCCCTGTACATGAATATGGGTAAACCGTATGGGTTGACAGGTATGTAATATTTCGATTTAAAGCTTTCGTGACTGCAGGGATTCATATTCTTAGTTCTTTCGGTAAAATCATATAGAAGGGAAATAATAAAATAATACAAATATAAAACAATACAAATTCTCACGACGTGACTTTACCGAAAGAACCGAAAATGCAAAAACTATTTTTTTATTTAAAGCTTTCGTGACTGCAGGGATTCTTATTCTTAGTTCTTTCGGTAAAGTCACGTAGAAGGGAAATAATAAAATAATATAACATATATTTACTTGTATATATATTTATATATATTAATATTTTATAGTATTTTATATTATTATATTATTATTTATTATCTTGGTTCTTTCGGTAAAGTCACGTAGAAGGGAAATAATAAAATAATATATTTATATTTTATATTATTTTAAAGTCACGTAGATATATCTATATTATTTTATTATTTCCCTTCTACGTGACTTTACCGAAAGAACCAAGAATACTAAAACTATTGTTATAAATAAAACAAAGGCTATTGTTGTTGGTGTTGTCAATAAAGTTTCGAGGTTTCAAAACTCCCCCCTCCCTCCCTCCCCCCTGTTCCCGTCATGCCCCTCGCGCCTCCGTTTACGTTTTAATTTTTCTGCTCGTCATTCACTGACGCCGCGTCGCGTCGCGAAAAAAGAACGGAAAACTCCTGCGTCTTTTTGTTTAAAGTCCGCCTTCACTTCTGGGTTGTCGCTCGCGCGCAAAAAAAAACCGATCGTAAGTCTCGCAATTTAGTGTCGTTGCGTGCGCTCGCGTTTTGTGTGGTTGTCTTAAGACGCGGGTGAGAGGCGCGCGCGTGCCAAGGCCGCGCGCGAGCCTCGGTCTTGTCTGGTCGCGCTGCCGGGTTGAGGTGAGCCCTGACCCCGCGAAGCCCCTTTTTCGCCGACTTA